CAGGGAACCAAAGCTTCCAGAGGTGCCAAAAGACCTGCCGCTCCTCTTCCTAGAGGAATCTGAGGAGTTACTGGTTTCCCAAGACCCCAGTCTGATTTGGAACCAGTAATGCCAGGGCAGGCATCACAGGCCCCCCCATCCCCAGAGTCATCTATTCCCTCCTCCCAGACCAACAGCACCCCTGGGAGACAGAGTTCTTCCCAGGCCAGCAGTCCGGGGCAGGCAGTGGGTCCTCGTTTGGGCAAACAAGGCAGAGGGGCCATGTGGGATCATTTCATGGTGCTCAGCGATGATCCACGGCTGGCACGCTGCAATACCTGCCTTGGGGTGGTTCGGAGGGCTTCAGACCCCATGCATCTGTCCTCCACTGCCCTCTGCCAACATCTGGAGAGGCACAACCCAAGGCTCCTGTCCAGGGAAGGCACTTCATCTGCACTGTCTGGGAGAGGGAAAAGAGCAGCTCCAGGGGAGGCAGAAGGGAGGCATGAAGAGATGCCTCCTTCCAAAAGAGCAGCCACAAGGGTTTCTGGGGCCGGGAGCATGAAGCAGACCATGTTCCATGAATTGGCACCCATTGGGTCCACCATGACCCTCAGCCGGCGGTAGAAGGGCAAGGCCCAGCAGGTGGCCACTTATCTCATCACCACTTCATGGTGGACGTGTAGAGTGGAGGTCAGCAAGGTTACTTCTCGCTCACAGCCCATTGATGGCAGCCAGAGGACTTGAATAGTGGCAGGGCATTGGTGACAGGGCCGCAGGGGGATGACCTTGCCCTGCCCCCAGGATACAGGTCCTTTCTGCTGCAGGCACAGCACATGGAAACTCAGGCAACGGAGAGGAACATCGCCGATGAGTTCCTGTCCATGCTGCAGGAGTGGGCACTGGAGGGGGAGGTGACCCGTGGCCACATGGTCACAGATGCCAGGCGGAACATGTTGGCGGCATTGAACATGGTGGGCTTTGAGGGCATCCTATGCATGGCACACAAATCACACCTTGTGGTGTGCGATGCCCTTGGCCTGGGCAGCCACGTCAAGCCCGAGTGGGATGCAGGCACCCAGGAGATGCAGGCACTCCTGGAGCAATGGCACCAACTGGTGGGCCACTTCTCCCACAGCCTGAAAGCTGCCCGCCACCTGCGTGAGAAGCAAAAGAAGTTGGGTCAGGAGATCCATGTTCTCCTGACAGACCTGCCCACCAGGTGGAAATCCACCTACACCATGGTGTCCCACCTGGTGGAGCATTAGGCCGTTTTGGAGGACATCATGTCCTCCATGCCCATTCTGCCCAGGGGGAGAGAGGTGGGCATCATTGCCATGGATTGGCTGGCCATCTCCCAGATGGTGGAGGTGCTCAAGCCCTTCCTGGAAACCACGGACAACTTGTATGGTTATACGGCAAGACTGGGGCAGGTCATCCCCCTGATTCATGCCCTCGATTGGTCCCTGGAGACTGCGGTGGCACCAGGAGCCTCCCTCTTTCCATAGACTAGGGCTTTGGTGAAGGGGTTGCAGGCAGGCATGCAGAAGCGACTCCATCCTGTCTACGGCGACAGAGCTTACCACATGGCCTGCCTGTGTGGTCCTCGAATCAAGGGGAGTTTGGCAGCACGCACCTCAGACCTCAAGGAGTGGAGAATGGAGCTCTTTACTGAGGTCCGTACAGCGTTGGGGGCAGAATGCTTGCATGGGGCAACAGGAACATCAGGCCATGAGGGGCAGGGTGGTTTGCCCAATTCACAGGGAAGGACTTCACCTAGTGAAAGCTCCATCCACCACCAACATTACTGGAGCTATGTGGTTACCTTGGCACTTGCCTCAAGACAGCCAGCTGAGGAGGATTTGGTGTGAGAATATCTGGCTGAGCCCCCTCAGCCCCACCAGTCCATTTCCCCCCCATTACTGGGCTAGGAAACTAGTCATATGGCCAGAGTTGTCCAATGTGGCCCTGGACCTCCTTTTCATCCCCCCCCACCAGCATCCAGAGCGAGCCCGTGATTTCCCATCTCAGAAACATACTCCGACCATGCCACTTGTGTTTGGATCGTCGGGGGCCATTGTTATAGGCAGTTAAAGTACAGATGAATTGACGGATCGATTTGTACATTTGTCGAAGAATATTTGTATATTCGTATTTGTTCATTCGTTAACCTTGACGAATAATGGATCAAAACAAATCACCATTTTTTTATTTGTCCCCATCTCTAATAGTGACCTTCCTTTCAGACTAAGCTGTAGCTGATTGTTTTACAGGAATTCCCAGCAAACTGCTGCTCAAACCTCACTTTTAAAACACAGTGTACATTTTCAGGGCTGCTATACCCCTTATTTATTATAGCACTCTATACAGAGAAGAGTTTCACATCTTGACAAGACTCCTACCTCCAGGCTGAAAACTCATGGAATGCACTGAATCTGTGCGTGTTGACTATTTCCTGTCCATCTCCTCACTCTCTCAGTCTTTACTTTCTCATCTCATCTGTAAAGTCCTAAGGGAGGAGGCACCTTGTGATGTCTGCCTCTGGGCTTCAGTTGAACTGGTGAGGCTTTGGACAGTTGGGAAGATTACTATACACTGAAGGTGGAAGACACTCGCATACAGTTTTTGGCTACTTGTAATTGGAGTACATCTAAGAACATCCTACAGGAGAAGGCACTGATTTTTCTTTCTCCTTTGAATCTTTCCACCCCAAAAACATTTCTTTTCAATGCTTTTTCTTTCAAATTGAATTAGAATGATTGGGTAAATTGTAGCAATTGGGTAAATATGAAGTGCAGTAAAAAGAATGGTATATACCTTTGTTAATCAAGTGCTGTTGCATAGCAAATTTTATTTCTACATAATGACATAATTCATTCTTTAATTAGAAAAAGAGTAATAACAAAACAACATTTTCATCAGAATATTTTCTCTCTTCATCTTTTTTAGAATAAGAGCCAAGGACTGAGTTTTGTCCGGATACATGCACCATGGAATGTGCTTAGTCGAGAAGCGGAGTTTCTTAAAGTGAAAATGCCCACAAAAAAGGTAAGTAGGGTTCACGTCTTTTTTTTTAAAAGCAGTTGCTGGATATTATGAAGGAAATGGCAATAGAAGGGGGTTATCTCTGATTTCAACTTCTCAGTGAGGGAAATGTGGCGGGAAAGAAGGAATTTGGAAGCGATAGAGGCAATTTGGGTAACAGTGCCCCTCCACTGTGTCTACCCATGCTGTCCTTTAAATGATTCGTACTGTCAATACCATTTCATTTCAAAACTGGCATTTTAATTTCTCCAAGCCCCATCGGGGCCGTAAAAAATAATAATCACCAAATCCCCCCAAAAAACGTGCAAGCCCCATCGGAATGCATTGGAGCTGGGGGGAAAAATCACCCCCCCCCAAAAAAACATATAAGCCCCATCAGAACGCGGCGGGGACAGAAAAAAAATCACCACCACCCCCAAACATGCAAGCCTACATTGGAATGAAAAATCACCGCCCCCCCAAAAAAACATGTAAGCCCCATCAGAATGCGGTGGGGAAAGAAAAAAATCACCCCCCCAAACATGCAAGCCTACATTGGAATGTGTTGGGGCCAGAAAAACAATCACTAACCCCGCCCCCCAAAAATGCAAGCCACATTGAAATGTGTCAGGGCAGAAAAAAACCACAAAAAAGAAAAACACAATACAGCAAGCCCCATTGGAATGCGTTGGGGCTGGAAAAAAAAGCACACACTTTTTTCTGGTTGTAACTTGAAGCTCCAGTTGCAAGTAGAAGCAAAATTTTGTGGCCCGAGCTGGTCGTAACTCAAAATGGTCATATGTTGGGACGGTCATAAGTCGAGGCACCACTGTAGGTCAGTTTAGAATGCTGATGTGATCCATATGGGCCAAACAATTTGACTTCAGTTTGTCAAGTTTTGCTTACAAATCTCTGTTCTTGCCTGATTTATCCTGTTTTTAGAATGATTTTCTGGCATGCCAGGACACACCTTCTAGGTGAGTGACTTAGAAAAAGTCTGTAGTTGAGGTACTTTTTTTAAAAAAAAAAACACCTCTCAAATGAGTGTTTGCTGGTTTTCATATTTTGTACGGGAGACAACTGAATAGTATTACCAGTTCTATGCCTGTGTTTCAACTTGTAAGAGAAGTGTGATGCCTGTGTAATGCCTTCACACCCTGTGCATGCGGAATTTAAACATGGCACTTGTTGAAAAATAATAGCTGACTTGAGAGCTGGATGTCATTCTCACTTAATAAACAAGTAAAATTTGTCCTATGAGCTCACCAGTGTACTACCCTGGAGCTATTAAATGTTCAGCTTGGCTAGAACAATTACATTTATTATTTAATAAGTGTATATAAAATATACACTTAAGAGGTATCACTAGGAAGCTTACTTAGTTCTATTGGTGTCAATGCTTTTCAACACCTCAGACTCACACTGTTTTCATCATTCTCCTTTCTACCCACCCTAAATGTATGTTTCTCAGGGCAGGACTTACACGCATCTCACACTAGACTCACTATCGGAACAAACAGAAGCCATAATAGTTAAAACAAATAATATTGTTTTTATAAATGCCTGCATAAGTTTAATTCCAAGTGCATCTTAGAACAGGTTTTTTTTTACTGTTGTTAATGAAGTAGGAACCTTAGAATTAGTTCTGAACAGGAAAAACACAACCTTTCTTATTGTAGGAAATTGTTATTTCTTTCTAGCAAACATAGCATATCTTATAGTTGCAGTATATATATTTGCCTCCATGATTCATCACTGCATTGCACTTAAGGTTTAAGATTTCCCCACAATCCTTTATTCTTTGGACTACTTACTTTTCTGCTTCATATTGTTCTCCTCTTTGAGGTACGATAGGTAGTTATGAATAGCATGGCCTCTTTTGGAGATAGGGAGCCCAGTGGAATGCACTCTAAACATTCTAGTAGGTCCCTTTGTTGCATGCTTTTTATTTTTTGGAAGAGAGGTGGTCATGCCAGTAATCATTTGAAGTGGTTGGCTGCATAAGTTCTACTTCCTACTCTGCTGCTATAAGTGTCCTCACCATGGTGACAAATATTCTTTAATTGTGTGGGCAAGAAGGGCACGTGCAGATATTGCCCCTTTGGCACTGCATCCATACCCCAGCAGCCATCCAATCAATGCCTAGAACTGAGATCTTCACAGAGTGAGATACAGTGGTGCCTCGCTAGACGATTACCTCGTGGGTTGAAAAACCCGCAAGACGATTGGTTTTTGCGATCACTATGGTGCCATGCAAGACTTTTGTTTTAGACCGATGCTTCGCAAGACTTTTTTTTTGAGACCAATGCATAGGGAACCTTGCAAGATTATTTTTTCACAGGACGATGATTTTCGCGGAATGAATTAAAATCATCTTGCCACCACTGTATATTATTCAAGGAGGAGTCCCATTGGCTGTTCTTTCACTCCAACATTTGGCCTGGTTCTCCTGACCACCCACTGTGGTGCTTTCTACTGTCAAGGCAGTGGTAGCAAGGCAAAGAGTTCTCTAAGTATGTAAGTGCAAGTGGCTATCCTATGATCTCACCCCGCCTAAAGGGGTGGCCAGCTCTGTGAATTTATGCCTTTTGTTTATTAATTCTTAAGCTACGTTTTTATTAGGATCATGACTATATTCAATATACTGCAAAGATAATCCTTCAATTTATTGTATGTGCTATCTGCTTAATGGATTGAATAAGATGCAATAAAGTGACACTCATTCCTCATTAGGTGGTGGTTCTTTAGTGGGTGGCTTGTCTCACTGTGGAGGTTGCATTTACACAGTTGCAAAGATAATCCTTCAATTTATTATATGGTAGCGACTGTGCTATCTGCTTAAAAGGATTGAATAAGATGCAATAAACTGACACTCATTTCTCATTAGGTGGTGGTACTTTAGTGGGTGACGTGTCTCACTGTGGAGGTTGCATTTACACAGCTGCCTTCCCTATAAAGCAGGTGTGCACAACCCACGGCCTGTGGGCTATCTGTTACCCCTAGAAGACTGTTGTGCAGCTCCACAACACCTTATTAAATCCCCATCTCTTTTTCAAGTCAATGAATGGTGGCGCAGAAACATAAATCAAGATTGGGATTGCTGGGAGGAAGAGAAGGGTACTGTTAACCATGTTCCCTTCACCTCGTCACTGAATTTGCCATATGAATTCATCATGATGCTTTTGAAGACTACCCTAAGACTGCACTTAATCCAGATCATAGCCGCTGGTTTTCTAACCGGAAATGGTAGATGGGGACATACCTTGCTAGTTCTTAAGCAAATAGTGTATGTGAAAAATCCATAACAAGCTGATAGGTTCCTGGCTTGTAATAAAAACTACAAATAGTACGAAGTGCAGTCTTCATCCAGTCGCATTATCATGTCCAGATTAGTACCTTAATTTATAAAACAATGATGACCCAAGAATTTCTTGGTAGGTCAAATCAAAGGTCATCAAGTTCAGTCTTATTTTTCAAACAGGGGAACTGTGTGCCTGTGGAATTTGACAAGCAGTACATGTATTCTTCCTGGGCTTCTCCATCCACTTCTTGAAATTTGACAAGCACTACATGAAAGTGATGACTCTCTAATGGCACGTGGGTGTATTATTACTGTCAGCATCTATTATTTAAAGATATATTGCTTCTGTACATGGAGATTCAAGTTAGTTATTGTAATTTATAGCTAGTCATGTTGAGTCCACCTTGCTGATTGAACAAATTGTACAAAATCTGGAGCTGTTTGTCAGAATGTCTTTTCCCTAAAAACAATTGCAGATATATCTACTTTTTCCAAGTCACTACCTGTTGGTATCTTGATCTTTTGTTTGTTGTTTCTTATCGTACACCACTCACTTTCTTGTGACCACTCTGAATTATCCAACAAATGTTCCAACGACCCACCAAAAACAGCAAAGCTATTACTATTTTTGGTGGGTAGATGGGTGGATGTAAGTAAAATACCTTGATGAGCTCCTGGTTTGCTTGATCCCTTCTCAGGTTGCAGAGGGGCTTTGGGTATCTCATGAAATGGATCTGCCCCCAGTCTGAAAGTCTGAATATAATGAAAGATTGCAAGATACTGTATAAGCTTGCTGATTACACTAAATGGGAAGCATGATGGTTTGCTGCTTCATCAGTAGATTCAGAGGCTGTCGTATTTCGAGCCATCTCTAACAGTGTCTGTCCAGACAGGGGAAGGTTACAGGACATGATATTAAAACTGTCGTATTTCGAGCCATCTCTTACAGTGTCTGTCCAGACATTGCAGGGGAAGGTTACAGGACATGATATTAAAGATTAGTTATTTGCTTGGAATCAGAACCAGATGTGGGACACTGTTCAGAACTAGTGTGGGAAAAAGCGTGGGCGTCACAATGTGGGATGCTGATCGGTATTGCCACAGAACAAATGCAAATTTCATCAGATGTTCTTGAGGGCGTATCCTGGGAATGCTGCTGATGCTAGATAGGTAGAAACAGAAACTGGATACACGGTCCCAAAGTTATATTTTGAAACTCACATATCCATGCATGGTCTTTTTGTTTTAGACTTACGAAATAAAAGAAGAAGGAGGAATTCTCAAGAGGCTGACTAAAATATGGCACAAAATTACAGAACCTTTGCAGCCCAAAGTGCCACAGAAAAACACCACCAGGGTGAAGAACTTGTCTTACCCTTTTTCCAGAGAAAAAATCTATTTGTGAGTATCTAACAAAGTGCACAATGTTTCGCTGAAGAATATTATCCAGTGATTTACATTTTGCAGAATTTCCTATCCTTCATTGTCCTGAACTTGTATTGTTTAAGAAAATAAAGAAACACATGTTTCAGTGTGCCTAGATATCATCCATGGTCTCAAACTGTGAATTGTGCTACCTAGAGCCAGACATCTTACTCTCTGTGCCACTGGAGGGAGCTGATAACCTTTTGCATGTCAAAGCAGTTGCTGCAAAAATACAATACCTATGTAGGCTCATAGTTGCAACTGTATTGTTTAATGTGGCATCAGAGATTAATAGGATCCTACCTGTTCCTGTTCCTTAGTTAGTTAGGCATCCTTCAGTCTCGAAAGACTGTTCCTTACAAAACTGTTATATACCGGAAGCTTTGCCCTACTTACCTTTCAAATCTCAGAATTTTTTGGTTATGCAGACTAAGATATTTTAGGCTGTGCTATTGCATACTGACCCTACTATGGTACTCTTTCCATTCTGATAAAGCTACAGATGCTGGCCTTCTTCTCATTTTAATCAATTCTTGTCTAGGCTTTAGACAATAGGTCAGAAAATTACTCTTAAGTAGTTACCAGTTAGTTGCTTTAAAAATATTTGACATAAAAATGCACTTGCCTTCCATGTTCTCCTTAACACTAGAGATGAAAAGAACACTCACTAAACTGTTCTTTGTTTAAACTGTTTTCATAAGAGGATTTTAAAAGCCCTGCTAGGTTCCTTGCCTCCAGCTAAGAGGAAAACAAAAACTCTTTCTTCCACCTGAAGATCTTTGTAATGTGCATACAAAATCTCTAACTGTCCTTTCCCTTTGAGAAAAAAGGATCTATGTGCACACATGTGCGCACACGCACGCGCGCACACACAAAGCAAGCACAGAAGGTGTAGCTGATTGTTAAGGAAGACACAACAATGTATGTTGTAATCAAAGTACGAAATAGAAGTACAGCCAACTGCAATTTGTGCAATTGTACAAATTGGGTAGCTGATTGTTAAGGAACTCACAACAATGCATGTCATAATCAAAGTATGAAATAAAAGTACAGTCAACTGCAATTTGTGCAATTGTACAAATTGTACACTTATGTGCAAAGACAGAATTTTTTCAAAAAATGCATATTTTACAGATAAATCGCATATTTTATGTAAAATATTATTCTCATCAATGTGAGAACTCACCTGGTTTCCCTAACCATCTAAATGATCATCCAGTTTTATATATACTCTACCCTTTCCCTTTGGGCTCTGTAAAAGAGCCAATGCAAATAAGGTTCTATGGAGGCATTTTTGCACCCCCAGTTGCCCTAATATTCTTTCTTGGCATACATTCAGCACTCACCTGTCACTCAACCCAATCAATTCATCATGCAAGCAATAAATGTAACTATATACACACCCTCCAAAAACAATATAAACATATATACACATTTGTTTATCTAATGTGCATATATGGATCTTGTTTTTTTTCCCTCTCACACACTTACTTGACTGCCCCCCCCCCATGGCTTTAAAAAGCTTACACCTCTCTGAAGGCCATACCTTTTGATGAGATAATTAAAAACCATTGATAACTGCATATCATTTGTCTTTTTTATTACACTCTCCAGTCTGCATGTATTGTGGAGAGCTATATCATATATTCCAGAACTGAGTCAAAGGACTGCCTTATGAGCTATAATTCATCCTCAAACCTAAAATTAATTTTATGAGGATTTTTTTCTTGCAAATCAGCAATTTGGCATCTCAAAGCTAAATGCAAGTCTCAAAGCATTGTAATCTAAAATGCAGTGCAAATCAAGTGAGTTGTGGCTTAAAAGTACATTAGCTGCGTTTTACCTTCATTTGTTAAATTTTAAGTGGTTACTATTGATGCTGTTAATTCTTATGCATCACTGCTAGCCTCTGCCTGTGTGTGTGTTGTGTATTGCAAAAGGGCTTCCAGACAAACAGACTGAAGTAGGGTACCTCAATTGTCTAAGAGATAAAGAAGAGCATCCTTGCCACCTAACAAAAGGTAAATCCCCCACAAAAAAATTAAGTGGCCTCTGTGGAGGGAGGGGCAGAAGTCCTCTTGCCCACATGGTTCCTGTTTATGGCCATAGATTGTGTTGTACCATTTAGATATTTTAATGAGTGACAATAGCCTTTCAGTATTGCTCCCTTTTTCTTGGAATCTAATGTCAGCTATTCTCTCTTTTTCACTCCCTCTCCTCTACCTCTTTCTCCCCCCTTGTCATTTTTACATGATGTATCAACAATAGGGGAATGCTATAGGCTTACCCCTCCATCATGCCTTGTGTTTCCCTTCAATATGAGGAAGACTGTAAGTGGAAATGAAGGATCATCTGTGACCATAGAGGAACTAGGTAGGAGTGGATAGGCAAAGTTAGGGCTCTCACTTAGACATTGCTAAATATAATGAGAACAGCATGTGATTAGGTCCTCCCCATCTCCTTTTCTCTAAAGAAGGAACATGACCAGAGGCCCACTGTTCAGAAAGATGCTTATTTTAGTTTAGGGTTGCTTAAGATTGACTCAAAAATAAAGTGATGGTGGAGGGGATGGTGGTAGTGTTCTCCCTCAATTTGGGGGGTATCCACACATTTCAGTAGCAACTGAATAGGACTATATATATAAAGAACAGAAAGATTATTTTGTAACCTATCCCTCGGCATGATCTACACCTTACAAGGGATCTCTGAGGAATCTGTGAATTCTGATACAATTGACCTGACCCATGGGAACGTTGGCACATTGGCATACTTATGTCAAATATGGAACATCAGTCCCCCTACTGTCTTTTGACCACCACTGCAGCGCACTGTGTGTTCTCCTCCATCGACGGTAATGAAGCACAGAAATAGAAAGAAATGGCCCAGATCAGTATGTGGCCAGCAAGGACATTTTGCTGACACATCAATGTACCCACACATTTTAAAAAAAACCGAAGGAGGGCACAGAAAGGCACAAGAAAAGGAAGGGGATATGTCCCGCTCAAGAGGTGTAGATGAATGTACTGCATCAAATTCATCCCCCCAAAAAATGAAATTGTTTTAAAAATGATATATGCCACGTGATCACAATGGACAACTAGACAGGAATCATAAGATGCAAAAGATGTTACTGTGGCTATAGTTCCTTTTTTAAAAAAGTATGAAGATGCTCAGACTTTGAGAATGGTGATTTTTTTTATTTAACTCAAGCATTATATGATGAATGTCAGACAAATTCATACAAGGTGGTCACTATATTTAGCAGCATTTATCTATCACCTTTATACACAATGTCTCTTTGGACTTCATATCTAGGCACTTCTTAAGCTGGGTTTGTAGTTGGTTCAAGTGAATTTTAAACAAAAATGGTCATGTCATGCTGTTTGTTATGTTTTATCTTGTGTCTCTGTGCTTTTCCCCCTAGATACAACATTCAGGACAAAGACACGTTTTTTGACAATGCTACTCGCAGTCGAATAGTAAGTAAATCCTGAGGAGAACCTTTTCTGCATAATAGCAATCATTACTGATGAACAAAAGTATTACTATTTCTGTCACTCTCTGTATTGTCATGGTACTTTTCAAGGTGGAACAAACAAAAATGTTTGTGCTATAATGTTTTGGCAATGTAAATTGAGAAAGAGGTAGGGAAGCATGAAAGAGAATTGTATGCAAATGTACGGGGTGAGTGATAATTTGTCTGTTAAACTGATTGTAGAAACGCAGAACAACAGTCTGCTTAGTGATCGACAGATAAATTTTATTATGGTCAATGACTAATACCCAAAATACAAATAAAACATGTTATTCCAAGAAACTGCATTGCTATCACCCTAAAAACATAGCTAAAATCTCATGGGTGGCATAACTAGTGCTGGATGTGTTTCCTTCTTAGAAGATTGTTTCTGCTAAGTAAAGCTAAACATAAATGTACTAAAACCTTTACTTCATGAATTTTACCTGCAACTTTTTGCCACATTTAACAGCATACTTATATTCTGCCCTGAAAGCAGTAAAAGGTGTAATGTGCCTCTGATCACACAGGAAATAATTTTAAACAAGATTTTATAAATGTTTTCTGAATACTCAGATTTAAAAAAACAATGCAAAAGAACTAGAGTTATTGTTTCTGTTGCTCCGCAATTACAAGGACATTTGCACTGGCAATGGTGGGATCCTTTTAAACTTATCCTCCCAAACAGCAGATGGCAGAACATGTAGCCAGTCGACAGTGAAAGGACTACGGTGCTTTTGTATTTTCAGTAAAGAAAAATAATTTACCTGTTCAAAAAGTAGCAGTGCTGTATCGATTAGAATATTGTTTGAGGTTGTACCTTGATCATGTTGCCTCTTGACCTCTATAATATGTTGCCTGAGGTCTAGTCTAGCTGTATCATATCTTGCATGGATAAGGCACTCCACAGAGAAGCTATACTCTCTAAGTTTAGCAATTAGAGCTTTCTTCCAAACTGACTTCTATTCGTCCGGTAACATTAGAGGGGTAAAGCTTACTGGGGGGGCGGGGTGAGTGAATGGGATTAGCTTCAGCCAAAAATTGAAGATAACTAGCCAAACCCTAGTTTCAACTTTCAGATATCCAACATGTAACCACAGAGCTACATTTTTGCTCCAGAGGGATACTTGAAAAATAGCTTTAAAAAAATCTTATTTGAACTACTGACAAAGGAGTAAAGGAGAATAAAGGCCCAGTTGTGCACCATAAAGAAGCTGACTAAGAGATCTGGCCCCAAACAATTTTAAGCAGCTGGAACATCAAGTCCCTCCCATGCAAAAAACAAAAAAAGGATTGCAGAAGCAGATATTTGTGCTGCTTCAGCTATATATTCTGCATGTACCTTATGAGTGCCATTCACTTGAAAGGCAACACCAAGATATTCAATCTTGTCTGCTTAATCTTGTTGTCATTTATTGATCATTTATAGCACTGTAGTCTTTTTTGCAAACATCCTAACCTTACTATTCTTACAGTTTTGTTGGAGCTTTCGTCTTGGCTGTAATGTATTAAGGGCACATAAAACTCTCCTTCAGCCCTTAGGTATCTGTGACAGTAACACTGTGTCATCTGCATATAATATTACCTACTGTCCTGGGAGTTTTCATGTTGTTCTAAAAATATTCAAGAACAGCATTTCTCAAACATGGCACTTTTAGGAAATCTTTTGCATTTGTATTTACCTGCTTTGGAACTATTTTGTCTTTCTCTTATAGCATCCATGCCTGCCCCATCTTACCTAGGATTCAGACGTATGTTCTAGGATGTTTGACCAATCACTGCCTTGCATAAACCCAAACCTAATGTTCTCAGTGCTACGAAACTTGTGTTCAGGTGGACATAACGCTCTGTCCATTTCAAACTTGCAAGGGCAGACTCGTGTGATTCAATGATCTGCCCTACAAAAAAACAAAAACAAACAAACAAAAAAAAAACAAATTCCATCCCTCTACACAGAAAATTATATGCAGGGTTGGAGTACCATTTATTTGGTGGAGAAATATTATTCCATGTTAGTCTCCATTTGCAATCTGATGTGATTATAGGTCAAAGAAAGCATTCTATTTTATGCCTGAGCACAAATTTAGTAGAACTGAGAAAAAATAGGTTTTAGTTTATGCAAGGCAGTGATTGGTCAAAATATTCTAGAATATAGATTCCTAACCTATTGTCCATGGACCACCAGGGATCTGAGATGTCCTCACAAGGGGGTCTGCGAAGGCTTGAAAAAAATGTTATGTTCTTTTGCAGTTAAATTAGAAAGAAAGAATGAATGAAAGCAGGCAAGCAAGCAAGAAACGGAAACTTAAAACAAAATCTTAATTTCCCTTGCTTGTTTGTGTAAAACTTGGATTTTCTAACCTACTGCCTTCATTAAAAACAAATAAAGGTAAAAATCAGTTATGAAATTATTTATGATGATGATGATGATGATGATGATGATGATGATGATGATGATGATGATGATGAGTGGCTGAGTGGCTGAGAGACAGCACATGACATTTCTCACTACTGCACAGTCAGTCAGAAGCCGTGAAAAGAGAGAGTCAGAGTCAGTGTGAGTGAGTGTTCGGACAGACTTCATGATCATGTTTCCTCTTTGATTTCTGTTAACAAAACCATTTGGTTGCTGGGTAAAGTGATTTTTGAGATTATCACTGTGAATTTCGTAACAATACAATTGGGCTGAGCCTCAGAATGGATTGCTGGCTGAATCTGAAAAATTAAAAGAGCTGATGATGTTGATGAGAGTATATCCTGGTCAAAGCAAAATGAAGCTTCTTCTATTCATCTTAAAAACTGGCTTCACATGCACAGGTCCCAAAGACAAGCATCAGTGTGTAATGTGTTATGAGATCTTGTCCAACAAGGACATGAAACCATCAAAATTGTGAAGACATATTGATACTAAATATAAAGAACATGCCACAAAAAGCATCATGTTTTTCAAAAGTGAGCATGAGCTTTGGAAAAGTAAGAAAATGGTTTTAAAAGACTGCAATCAGTAGTAGCAATGAAAATGCAGTGAGGACTTCATTTGAAGTTTCTCAACTAATAGCAAAAACCAGAAAACTGCACACAATTTCTGAAAAATGTATATTACCTTCTGCAAAAATCATGGTTTCTGCATTGATCAATGAGAAAGCTGCCAAGGACCTTTCTTTAATACTTTTGTCAAATGTCACAGTTAAGGAGCGAATTGACTATTTGTCAGCCAATATCAAGGATCAATTGTTAGACATAATTCACATGCCCCCCTGCACTGCAATTGGACAGGCAAAAGAAAGCAGCTTTATGGTGCAATGTTAAATATGAGTATGAGATAAATGTTTTCAAAGACATACGGTTCATCTCCTTGTTGGTACACTCTACAGATGAAGAAGTACTGAACAGGTTAAATGAGTTTATAACATCACATGACATGGATTAGTTGAAATGCATTGGAATGAGCACAGATAGGGTGCAAGCAATATCTGGAAAGTTTACTGGACTTGTTGCATGAATTAAAGAAATCATACCATCAGTGACTTAGTACCATGGCTGCATACACCATGGCTGCATACATAGGGAAGCTAAAGCAGACCTTAAACGAATATGTTAAAATTGTCAATTTTATACAAAGCAAATGACCGAATCGAATAATTTTTGAACAGCTTTGCAGATATGGACAGTGAGCACCACCAACGTTTGCTACACTGTGAGGTTCATTGGCTATCTTTTTTCTCATTTGAGGGAATTTGGAGATGAGATAAGATTATTCCTCATGGAGAAGCAATTTCACCTCGGTGATTGTTTGACAGATTTTTCCTGGTTAGTCAAATTAGTTTATCTGTCAGATATCTTCACCCGTTTAAATATGCTCAATTTAAATCTTCAAGGAGACAAAGTTACAGTTTTTCTAGTTGAAGACAAGATTGAAGCAATGATAAAAAAGTTGGAGTTGTGGCATCATTGCCTATTGAACAAAACCTATGAGGCATTTCCAAACAAATGTTCTTGTTTCCATGGATGAAGAGTTGTCTGAGGACACATCACTTAACACGCAACATTAAAGATTTGCAGCATAGTTTCTGTGAATATTTTTCTGTTCCTGGTGCAAGCAAAAACTGGGTTAGAGATCCATTTTCAGTTAATATGTATGAACTAGAGGGGCTTGCAGCAGCAGAGGAGGACAATCTCATAGAAATATCTGCGGGTGGTGCTCTGAAATTGCAGTTCAAGGAACAGTCCCTTCCAAATTTCTGGGCTCACCTACAAGCAGATTTTCTGTAACTATCAAAGAGGTCTATAAAAGTATTTATACCTTTTGTAATAACATACTTGTGCCAAAAAAAAATCATTCACTGTTCTTGTTTATCTTATAAATGAATACAGAACTTGTTTGAAAATTTAGAGTCAGAACAAAGAATAAAGATTTCAGCTATTAAGTCTGATATAACAAAGCTTACAAGTGAAATGCAGCACCACCCTTCTCATTCATTATAATTATATGAATATATGTTCCTTTTTTCTCCAACCACTTTTTCAGTATTAATGATTTTATGTCCTTGTAATTTCAGTTTCTCCAGCAAGAATTAAAGACAATTATTATTATTCAAAAATACCAGGCACAGTCAATCAAAATTATAAATATTGCTGGGGTTTAAAAGCTCTGATGGTGTTATTTCTGAAATCTGCAACTGCTTGTAATACTGTGTGAGATTCCATGGTATTGTTCTCAAAGCCCTGATGATTATGGGGACCACTGAAGTGTGTTTCATCCACAAGCAAGACGTTTCTATTGTCAGGTCTCTGTATTTTCTAAGTTTTACAATTCTTTAGCTTAAACTCTGGCATCTCCTGGCACTGCAATGCCAATGATCCAGACATTATTCAAGGTACCTATCAGTTTGGATCCAGAAATCTCGTGATTTCATTACTTTTGTCATTTTCTGATACCTTCTCTACCTGATGTTCCCCTGAGTTTTTGAAGGCTGGCAAGTTATTTTTTTTTCACAATGACAAATTTTGCCACTCTGTCATTATTATTCAAAAATATCAGACACTGTCAATCAAAATGATAAAAACATTGACTGACATTATAAAACAGATACATGTTTTAACCAAAAACCTAAGTATCTGTTAAATAACAGTGCAATATGTATGCTGTTCCTAAAATTGCTAGGTTTTTTTTTCTTTGTAGCTCTGGTGGTGTTACTTCTGAGATCTGCAACTGCTTAGTGATGATGATAATGATGATTTTAAATCCATATGAAATAATTTGAATAAAATATTATAGTAGTGCAATAACAGATTGACGTACTTTTCTCTTCTCTCCAAACTTAAAGACCCTTCATGAGAAATGTTAAATAAGGGTTTTAAATCTTTAGTTAAGTCTTGGTGGTCCGTAGCAACAAAATATATTTATAGGGGGTCTGTGGTAAAGAAAAAGTTACGAGCCACTGCCCTAGAACATATGTCTGAATCCTATATAAGGGGGGCAGATATGGAAGCTATAACAGAAAGACAAAATGGTTCCAAAGCAGTTAAATACAAATGCAAAGGATTTTCTAAAAGTACAACGTTTGAGAAACACTGTTCTTCAACAAAACTCCCAGGATAGTGGGCAGATAGTGCTAATATACACAGATGACACAGTGTAAAAGATGTACTGAGTGACACAAATGTGGTAATCAGTACAATTCTAGCCAACACACTAAAATAAATAGGCCAGCTCATGTATAGCACAGCTACCATAACAACCATGGAGCTTGGTTACAAATTGACAAAAACCCAGGGAATTTCTGGAACTCCAAAATTGAAAATTTGGCTGGAAGACAAAATAAATAAATTACATGCAGACAATAGCAACTTGAAACACTTGAAAAATGTATAACTCAAAAATGAAAACATAAAAATGAGACTTCAAAAGATATGATTTAGAAAGAAAAACAATATGTAAAATTATGGGTGAATTATTCAAAATATTGAGTAACAGCTATAGCAAAGAAAATTGAAAGGTATGATCGACATTTAAATCAATATGCAATTCTGAAATAGCCAATGATTATTCTATAAATCATTGGGAGGAAATGTAGTTCAAAAGAAATTATGCCTATGTAAAGATGATGCTCTTAAAATGTTGGAAAGAAATTTGGAAAAGCCATAATGAACATAATAAAAATGCCTTATGGATGAAAAATATCTGCAAAGAAGCCCAAGGAAAAAATATAAATGATGTTATAATAACAACTGAAATGAGTAAGAGGCAAGTAAAGGCTGTTTAAAAAAACTGGAGTGAAGCTGAACCTGGTGAGCTGCACAGATTTTGGCTAAAGCATTTAACAAAGCTCCGTCAATATATAGTAGTGCAATTTAACCACCTGCTTCAAAATACCACAACTGAGGACTGGATTACAACATAATAAAAGATCAAAAAAAGGACAATGAACCCAGTAATTACTGACTAATCACATGCCTTCCAACAATGCTCAAGCTACTCACAAGAGTACTGGCAGAATTAAATTAATATTATTTAACTGAAAATTCTCTATACACAACTGAACAGAAAGGGAACTTTCAAAAGTCAAGCGGCACAAAATATCAGCTCCTAATTCACAAAATGATACTAACGAATTTCAAAAAATGAAAAACAAAATCTTAACATGGCCTGGATAGATTATAATGGCACAAAACATCAACTCCTAATTCACAAAATGGTACTAACAAATTTCAAAAGATGAAAAACAAATCTTAACATAGCCTGTATAGATTATAAAAAGGCATTTGACTCATTGCTGCACAGCTGAATTAATACTTGCCTTAAAATATTTGGGGATTAGTACATATATTCTTAATTTCTTAAAAAAAAAACATGGAAAAACGGAAAACTATTTTAATGCCTTATGGTGTAGAAACGGGAAAAGTTAACATAAAACAAGGAGGATTTCAAGGATTCTTTGTCAGCATTACTGTTTAACATCTCACTAATCCCCTTGTCAATAATAATAAATAGAACTGGATTGGGCTACCACCTTTCAGATCAAGGAGGAAAATTAAATCATTTGTTGTACAAGGATGACCTAAAATTATATACTGTGACAGAATCACTGCTAAATACAGTGCAAATATTTAGCAAATATATTCAGATGAAATTTGGACTTAAGAAATGTGCAGTTTTCTCTGTACAGGATTCAAAAGATCCAAAAACTAGATGGAATAGAGCTAATCTGTACAGGATTCAAAAGATCCAAAAGCTAGATGGAATAGAGCTAAAAATGGCTATATTATCAAATCATTAGCAAGTGATGTTAAGTATAAGTATTTTGTAGTACTAGAAGCAGATAATCTTCTGCATACAAAAGTTAAAGATCTAACACAGAGGGAATGCATTAAAATAAAATTTCCAACATTAAATGGTGGAAATACAATCAAAGCCATAAGTACATGGGCAGTTCCAGTAATTAGATATCCAGCTGGAATAATCGATTGGACCCAAAATAATTAGAAAAAAAATGGATCAAAAGTGTGGAAGTTAATGAACAGGCATCACACACTACACCCAAAAAGTGATATGGACAGATTATATGTAATGTGGAAAACTGGAGGTCACAGATTACTACAAATACAACAGGCCATAAAAGAAGGGGGGGATGCCTAAATGATTATACTAAAAGAAGCAGAGAAAAATTGGTGAAAATGGAAAACATCTTGAAAACTACAGAAATGAAGGTTGAATTTAAGTTAAAAACTACAGAAATGAAGGTTGAATTTAAGAAGCAACAATTTGAAGATAAATGAAACAGCTGCAAAAATAAACCATCACATGAACAACATCTGATAAATATTAAAAGAAAACATAATTATAATTTAATTTAAATTGGGTGTGGCTAAAACTGGGGACCATCAAGAAAGACATTGAAGGCTTGATCGTCACTGCTTGAGAACAAGCATTCTGCACTGCTGTCATGAAAGCTACAATTCATGGAATTCGTGTAAATAGCAAATGTCGATTCTGCCAAGAAAAAGATGGAACTGTGTCACACCTCATCTGTGAATATTCAAAGATTGTGCAGACAGATTACAAAGCTAGACAAGATAGATTGCAAAATTAATCCACCAGTCATTACGTAAAAAATATAAACTGCCAGCATCCAAATATCTATGGGAAGATTAGGTAGAGAAAATGTCAGAAAACAATGAAGTTAAGACCTAGTAGGACTTTCGAATTCAAATGAACAGACACATTAAGCGTAATTCACCAGACATAACAATAATAGAGTGGAGAAATGTCTGGATAATTGACATTGCAATTCCAGGAGGGTGCTAGATTTGAAGGTAGAGAATTGAAAAAATTAACAAAATACAAAGATCTGGCAGGGTGTGTGTGTGTGTGTGTGTGCTAGATTTGAAGGTAAAGAATTGAAAAAAATAACAAAATACAAAGATCTGGCAATAGAAATAACATGCTTATAAATAAAACACATTTCAGTAGTTCCCCATAATCATTGGGGGCATTGGAAATTATGCTGCAGAATTTTACAAAATAATATAATCCGCTGCAGATCTTCAATACAATTATCATCAGAGCTGCAATAAACAGCAATATTACAAGCAGCATACATATTATGAACTGCTTAATTGAATCACTGTTTCTTTTTTCAATGTAGGTACATGAAATTTTGAAGCGGACATACAGTACAAAAGCCAAAAATAGCATGGGTAAGAAAGAATTTGTGTATTGAAGAAAACTGACAACATAATATTTTGGAAGATACTTTTAAAACATGTTTCTCATAAGCTTATAGAAACACATTTATTGTGTAGCTTGCTATAGCCAATACCCCACTTAGTGCTGAGGGTATTTTCCAAGAACATGAGAGTGCTACACAAAACATGGCTAAGTGGGGCAGTTTAACATTGCGCCTTATTGGATAAAGCAGTCTTGTCAGGAGGAGGCAAAGCAGTGGTGCCGGGAATCTGACACATGGATGATGCAGTAAGAGCAGAGCAATTATTGAACAACACAAGAGGCATTACTCTTCTCTCCCTTCTTCCACCCCTCCTTCCCATCCTTGCATCTGCTTGAAGTAAATCTGGATGGTGAAAGGAGCAAGAAAAGGGCTGTGAGACAACCTTTCCTGAGGTGGAAGGCTTGTGTGGTGCCAATGCCTTCTAAGCCCGAGCTGCTATTGCAGTGACTGCTGCAAGAGGGCAGAGAGGGCTTTTCTGTGACAGGAAGTGAGCAAGTGAACAGCTGAGTAAACACTGGTTTCAGTTCAAGGAGAAAGGAAGAAATATGTAGGGCTTAATTGAGCAACCACCTCAGAAGGCCTTATCCTGGCAGTGATGCACCAGCTCGGCTGGCCCCTCGGCTCCTCTAAAGCCACAGCCGGGCTTCACTGCTAAGGAAGAGACCTCTTCTGTGAAGTCTGTTTTCGAGTCCTCCTGTGCAGCTTCTGAGTTAAGCCATGCACTTCCTTTCTTCCTTCCTCCTTCAGTTGGAGACAGTTCTTACTGCAGCAGCCTCTTAAGTGGCAAAACCTGGGCAGCCCAGGAGCAATAGATGGCGCTCGCTGAGCTGCCTCAGTGAGAAGTGGTGCTGTCCCACCTCAGCTGGTGCCAGGCATGGCTCTAGGGCAACCCCAGCTCCCTCTCCTCAAAATAGCTGCCCAAGCATGCATGCTATGACTTAGCAGCATATGGGGGCCATGCTATTCAAGGTATTATGGCAACGAATAGCTAATGAGCTGATTTCATCCCCCAAAAATGCCTTTAATAAATTATAGTATTTCAGCACTTCAGTGGACTGTATAAATATGTGAAGGTTGCTATATCATAGGTAGCTCAAATAATTGACTTTTATGACATTAAATATTTTCCCTTACATCAGTTTTTTCCATGTCTTAAAGGTGCTCCCAGCACCTTTGCATCTCTGCACCCACCCCTAACTATGAAAAAAAGAAGAAGAAGAAAGTTTGGTCACACGAGGAACAAGGGGGCCTTTCATCTAAAAACAGAAAATCTTTTTGTTTGCTTGTTTTTTTTAGGACTACAGGGGCAGCTGTGGCACTTCAAGGTCCAGGCACGCAGCCCCCTGACAAAACCAAATTTTTTTGGGCTAATCTGACTGAATTCATTAACTAATAGTCTATTCCTATGGAAATCTTCCACTAGTTTTTACAGGGCTATAGCTAGCATGGTACAATTGGGACTATGCTCCAAGCTGCCCAGTGCAGATGACGTAACAGCTCCCCTATCCTGTGCTCCTCCTTCAATGAGCTAAAGGCAGAGGTAGCCACACTGTCCAGACGTTCCCATCCCTGAAAGCATTTCTCCATTGTGACCCTCTGAATGTTTGCACCGGTTTCAGAGATTACATGCTTATGTACCAATGACCTCCCCCTCAGAACCAACATTAAAGAAAAGGAGGAAGCTTCTCTATTCAGGAAAAAAAAGAGACCACTTCTTCATTCTCTGGTGGCATGAGCTGGAGTCCTCCTACCCTAGGATTCAGCAGTTGCAATAGTGGCTTGGCAACAGCGGGGTGGTTGAGTTTGCCTGGAGATTTGGATTCTTTCAGGGTTGCCACAAATGACAATACTCCTGGTTATTGTTCTGTTAAGACAGCACCAGCACTTTAGAAATTTCAGCTCTGTGATTCTGTGAAGGTCGATAGTTCTCCAAACTTATTAGACAGAATAAATACCTAAACTCTTAAACAACAAAAGGCTCGGTCCTCTACAAATAACAGTTAAAGAAGAGAAGTGTTAGGGAAACACTTTGGAAAAAGGTGTATTTGAAATGAGCAATGGGCTCTTAATCAGTCATACAGAGGTTTCTCTTGGGATTTAATGTTTTGCTGTCAGCTTTAAAAACCACTTTTCTGAGAAGCATTGGGAAACTCTAGGAAGTACTGTGGACCGTGAGAAAGGACTTTGGAACTATATGTGGGCCATGGGCCACATTTTGACCCTTATGATTTTTATGAACTGGAATTCATAGATTTTGAAAGGCCTTGATAGCAATTATCTTACCCCAACTAAGAGAGGTGCTGTGGCCTTGTCTGTTGCATCACTCTGAGATTTTGATGTGCCATAAACATGATTCCATTTTCATAAGATTTACACCTTTTTTCTTGCTTTCATATTTTGAAATTGGTGGATAGTTCTGGATTCCACAGATTCCCAGCCCCCTTTTGGAACTTTCTTATATAGGAAAATTGAACTAATCATTCACTATTCATGTTCTCTGTGCGAATTTATACTGTTCATGGGCTGCAAAGATCTTTGATGGAAGAAAATAGTGGTATCAAATCCAGAATGGGTTCATTATTGGTATAGTGACTCCAGTATTTTTGAATTTTCTTAGTAATTAGAGATCAAGAGCTTTTTGTGCAAGAGAAAAATAACATCTTTTATAATATTATGTACAGAGTTCTTTTTTTCTCACAGAAATTAATTTTGGATTCAATAGTGGTAGCAGTGATGTGCTAAAAACAACATAATCGTGAAATCAGAAAAATACTGTTACTGTGTGTTAACAAGAGTATATTTTAGGCATTTAAAAATGAGTGAATTCTATACACAATGAAAGGAACATGCTACCTTTATCCCATCTGTCATTACTTTCCTCATGTGAAAGGAATGTGTCTGAAGAAAAGGGGATACCTCCTGACTCTGTGAAGATTTGGCATCAGAGGTGTGCAGTCTCCTGGCCTGTAAGAGCTACATACACCCATCTCTCAATTTTGCAGAACCACACTTGTTCAAGCAGCCCCTACCTCCCAAATCTTCCTACCTAAATGGTTTTTTTTTTTAAAAAAAAATATCAGAAAGGCGCCTTGCACCCTCTATTGGCCAAAATATTTTAAAAGTTTTAAAAACGAGGCTCTGGTGTCCCAGGGATGTTGGGGGTCATCAAAACATGGAAGATTCGATCATCACCACCCATTCCTTACAGCTTTCAAGGGAACGTTCTAAGCAAAAAAAAAGAGGGTATCAGGTGGTTGGGATCCCTAGAGATTCTGGGGGACTAAATTTGTTTTCTTGGAGTCCACATATGGCCTATGTTGCCCACACTATGTTAGCCAGAACACAAGTTGTTGTTTTTCTTTTTGCATTGTGGCTCAGGTGCAAAGAATCTGCAGATACAAGGGTCTCCTCTTCAGATACATCACTTTCTAATATACTCCTTCCCTTTCCTGTCAAGTATACATGCTTTGCTACATGCATTGTTAACAGCTGAGTAGGGCTGTGGAATCATAATAAAAAAACTGATATTATTATACTTTATTGTTACAGTATCAAGCCATACAGAAAACAAAAACTGATATATTTTTATGGTCTTATGATATGTTTTAATAAATGTTATCATTTTGTAGTATACTAAATCCCTGATATAGGTTATTATTTTTTTAATTTCAGGGTCAGTTGAGGTGAAAGTTGATGAAAGCTAACCGCTGCAATATATTGAAATGAAATAGATTTACTACGTACTAAACCATTTATATCAGTAAACAAAATATTCTTCCTCTTCTCTTCGGTGATCATCTGTGAAATGATCGTCATTGATACACAGCATGTTCAAAGTGTGAGAAGAGATTTAGATAAAGTCTGTGTTACGACCCTTTAATGAAAGAAAGTAATTCACACTAAACCTTATGCTGTAATGCTTTCACTGGTATATGATCGTTGGCTAAAGCACCTGCTGTCATTCCAGATTGGACTAACCATTACCTCAGACCCACAATTCCATAGTGAGGTCCCACTTCTTAAGAAGACCTCATGGCACCATGATGGCATATCTTTTAGGCTTCTTCTACATGGCAGGTTTTTTTCAGATCTATTATGTGGACATGCTAGGCATCCATTAAAAGATTTACATATGTGTATTGCATCTCTCTTCTTGTTCTGTGCTGCCGTTGGGTTAAGTACTGGTAGGTAATGTTCAATTTCATTATTAGAAAAATCCTCTTCAGCTTTGCTTCTGCCTTGATTACTTGTATTGCTTGAACTATATGAGTAACCTAAAAATAACCCCCAGCTGGTTTAAAGCAGTTTTTTTGGTGCTGCATTTGAAGTCAGTTTACATTTGCATTTTCTTGGATGTTTGTTTTACCTGTATTTGTGTTTGTTGTCTTGAAAATGGTTACATTGTGATGAACTGAATGCATGAAATTTATGTTTCTGTTTAAGGTACATTACTGCTATTACTATTAGATTAAAATTGAATGCATACTTTTTATGATAAGAACTCTGTACACACCATGAAATATATTAGTCTTTGTTTCTCTTGTACAGAAAATTAATATGAAATGTTTGACAAAGTAAAAAGTACTGGAGAGAATGTGTGTGCGTATGCGTGTGCATACGCACATGGGTGTGAGTCTTATCAGTTTACTGCCCAAGAATTCAGGGCAGGTCAGTCGTTTCTGGAAGGCAGGCCTTACAAGCAGAGGAGTAGAAGCAGCAGGGTCATTAGGTCAAGGCTTCATCTCAGGGAGAGGTGCAGGGCTACAAATGGGGTGGGTGGGTTGGCCATTATTTACATTAAAATATTATTTTTTTTACCCCTGAGCTCTCAGAGGGCTTCCTGGAAAGTCATAAATGAGAAAAGAAGACTCTCTCCATTGGTTTGGAAAGGGTTCTAACACCTGGCTGCAGCCCTTTCCTTTGTCCCAACCAGGCATACCTCAGGAGTTGCTGGGACACAAAAACCAGTCTTAAAGGCAGGGTGGCTTCATACATGCGAAGATGATTCTTCAGATATCCTGGTCATAACTGACTTTAGAGACCATCACCTGTACACTGAACTGCACCTGGAAAAAAAGGGGACAAAAATGTTTGTCATTTAAGGAAATTGAGATGCCAGAAACTGCGATGCAGTTGCTCTTGAAAACAGTAACCTACTTCAGGTGACTGAATGGGTCCCCAGACTATTTTCCTGGTTTTCTCACTGACACTGGTATAATCCTAACTCAAAGATGTACTTGCTGTAGGGGTTAAGATTGGGCACAAGTATCTCTGCTGGCAAATTTCTGTCCTGCCAGCTGATCTCAGAAATCTGATAACAGCAATCTGCTGGCAGAATGTTGTGTCTGTCTAAGACCTGTCAGGAGAAGAGTGGGATGAAAAAAGATTTGAATTATACCATCTCCAGACTTCCTTCAGTCCAGAGATACCAACAGAAAGTTGGTCCTAAACAATTTCCAACACCCATATGTTGGGAAGGCTTTGGAATCAGCCCAGCTTCAGCTGGCCTAGTGGTGGCTCAACTGGCGTTTGGCCATACTGGGTAGTTAGGATTGCACTTTAAGTCAGAGTTCTACTGTTCAGATATAATATGGAATTTTGGCTTAACATAAGACAAGATCTTCTGCTCTGATCTTGTGCATGGTGAGAGGAAGGGTTAACTCTGAATAGTCTTTCCTGTTTTTATGAACAGACATAGAACAATTGTCCAAAATGGGTTGTTGCATAGCTCCACTGGGTTAATAATTTTCTACAAGAAGAGTGTACCACTTTAATTTTTATGGCTAATATTTAAATGTGGATAGTGCTGTTGTTTGGGTGAAAATATGATTTAAATTTCTCTTCCCCCTATTTTTTCTGTTGATTTTGTCACTTGATAGATTCAGTATTTTGTGCGGAAATATTTGATGTTTGGCCTCAGTGTTTGATAGGTGATAATTTTTTTAAACATAGGATAGTTTAACTACTTCTGCATAGAGTGACATGCATCATTTGAGCCACTAGCATGAACAATATTTGTAATTTTTAGTTACAATTGAGAATTTAAGGTGATCCAATTAAAAATATAGTTCCATGAGAATACAGACATCTAAAGCAACTGAATTATAAACATAGACACACAATTTAAATCTAAAATTCAATATGCCTGATTTTCTGAACTCAGTACAGAAGCCCTAAGATAACGTGACTTTATGTAGAAAATAACTATTGTTATTTGCTTTGTCTTTCTCCTTTAGGTATTAATACATTAATAGCAAACAATACATATGATGCGGCTTATCCCCTTCATGATGTAGGTATCAGTTCTTTAATTTTTTTTGTGAGAACCTTGTTAAATATGAAAATCTAGTGTTCTTTTGTTTCTGAGGAGCTGGTTTTAAAACAAATGTTACAAAAAGAATAAACTGTAGAAATATTTGTAATATTAAGTAAAAACACAACACAAAAACAAAAATATAATGATAAGAAAAACTAAGCCCATGCTGCATATTAAAAAATATATGCCTGTGAATTTAATTCTGTCCTAACACTTACCCTATTTCCCTGATTTTTTCGTAGTATGATTTTTCAGGATATTCGTAATATAATAAGCCATACCTCAAAAATAAGCCCCAGCTAAGTGAAACCCCGCCCTCCACCATTATGCACAACCAGAAGAAGATGATATGACTGTATTTGAATGAATGTAGATTGTTGTACATGAAAAAAATGTCATCTGAAAATAAGCCCTAATGTGTTTTTGGAGCAAAAATTAATATAAGACCCTGTCTTATTTTTCGGGAAACACGGTACTTCTTGTCCAAAGTATAGGTTATGCATCAGGCATATCAAGAGTTGATGCACACCCACATCTTCTGGAGCATTCCATAGCTTCTCATGATCCACACAGTCAATGGCTTTGCTATAGTCTATAAAGCATAAACTGATCTTTTTCTGAAATTCTTTGATATGCACCAGTAGTGAATCTATATTTGCAATACAATCTCTAGAGCCTCTTCCTTTTCAGAATCCAACCTGAACATCAGGTATTTCTATATATGGTAAAAGTGTTTGTTGCAACATCTTGAGCATCACATGGGTAATTAATACAATGGTTGTATGGTTCCTGCACTTCTTGGAGTCTTCTTTCTTGGAGATTAAAATGTATATCCCCTCTCTTCCTAGTTATTTATTTCTTCCAAGTACTTTGAGAGCAGTTTTCACTTTCTAAAATTTCAGGTTTTTCATCATAGGATTCTTCTTCAAAGGAATTTGTCATCTTGCATCAGTTCTCTCTCTATGTATATATACACTGTATACTGTTTCCACCTTCTCTTTGATTTATTTTTGTCAGATAGTATATTCTTTTGTTCATCTGTCAGCATCCCTATACAGTGGTGCCTCGACTTATGACCATAATCCGTTCCAGATGGACGTACCTTGAAATGGTCATAAGTCGAAGCACCATTTCCCATAGGAATGCGTTGAAAGAAAAAAATCACAAAAAATCACTGCAAGACTCATTGGAAACACGATTAATCCCTTCTGGCTGAAGTGGGGGGGGGGAGCAAGTAAGCGTGCAAGACCCATTGGAAATGCTCAGAAAATAAACAGAGCACATTGGAAATGCACAGAGAACAAAGGGGGCAAGTCGGAAATGCAAAGAAAAGAAAGGAAAAAGTGAGGGAAGCATGCAGAACTCATCAGAAATGGGGGAAAAAAACCCAAAGCAACCAAACCCCCAAGACCGATCGAAAATGGGGGGGAAGCCAAAAACGTGCAAGACCCATTGGAAATGCTCAGAAAATAAACAGAGCACATTGGAAATGCACAGAGAACAAAGGGGGCAAGTCGGAAATGCAAAGAAAAGAAAGGAAAAAGTGAGGGAAGCATGCAGAACTCATCAGAAATGGGGGAAAAAAACCCAAAGCAACCAAACCCCCAAGACCGATCGAAAATGGGGGGGAAGCCAAAAAATAAACAAATCCCCAAGACCCATTGGAAATAGGGAAAAGCCCAACACAGCAACCAAACCCCCCAAGACCCATCGGGCATGGGGGAAAAACAACCCAAAAAGCAACCAAAGCCCCCAAGACCCATCAGAAATGGGGGGAAACCAAAAAAGCAACCAAACCCCTCAAGACCCATCAGAAATGGGGGGGACCAAAAAACAAACAAACCTCCCAAGATCCATTGGAAATGGGAAAAACACTCCAAAAAGCAACAAAACCATCCAAGATCCATAGGAATTGTGGGGGAAACCAAAAAAACAAACCCCCAAAACCCATCACGACACAGAAACATAACCCCCCAACTCAAAACCACGCTGCAAAAACACCCAGAACAGCTTTTAAAAAGCAGAAAAGAGCACCTTACCTTACCAGGCAGCCCGAAGCCTTCCTGAAAACTCACACACATGCTCACTCAGAAGCAGAAGGAGGCAGTCCCAAGCCTCCTCCGATGCACACTCTCTAATTGCTGAGGTGAAAGAGCTACAAAGAAGCAGCCTCATCGGCACCTACAGTTAGAAATTTGAATTTCCCAAGTTTTTCCCTGCCTTTTTCTGTTCATAAGTGGAAGCTCCAGTTGGAAGTCAAAGCAAAATTTTGTGCACTAACAATTCCAAGCATTTTAAACATTTTTAAAACATTTTAGAATATTTTAAAAATAGCAAAAACGGGGCTGTAAAAAAACCTTTAGCAAAACAAGTGGACCTAAAACTGTCATTGTTAAGCAAAGCATGGTCCCGAAATCGTTAAGCGAAAATCGCCCATAGGGAAAATCGTTAAGTGAAGCGCAAGATCACTCCGAAAAAGCCATCGTTAAGTGAATTTTTCGTTGTACAAAGCAATCGTTAAGCGAGGCACCACTGTAGTTTCTTAGAAACAGTTTGTTTTTGCTCAAGCATTAGCAAAAAGACATGTTCAAAGGATTAATTAAATAATTAAATACAACAACTAATTCCCATTAAAATAATAAACACTAAAAGCTGGGCTAAGGTGGGCTAGCCTCACCTCCTTCTTTCTTACCTACATTATTTTCCTTCAAGCGACATAACACAAACCATCAAGAATGTCTCTCAGGCAAAAGTTCTCTTCCACAAAATGGTCTGTCTCCAACATAACCCATTGTCCATTTTTCTACATTCCTTGGACCTCCTTCTTCATGACTGTAAATGAATTAACTCAAACAGGGATAACTGTCTGCTCCGCCTACAATTTTCATCGAGATGCAGGTGGTTTGTCTCCATTCCAGCTAGAGAGGAATTTGTTGGGTCTTCGCACTGGAGCCTCTTTGTCCTTGCATCCTTATCAGGTTTCACTCTGTACCAGCCTGGCTGTAAATTAAGAAAAATAGCCTCTCTGCCTTTCTCACATTCCCAAGTGAATTCCTTTCACTTTTAAAACCTAACTGACCCCATTTTCTTTCCTTCTCATTGACTACAAGTCCCACTCTCCTTCAATCTCATGACAACCAGGTGATGGTGTTATGTACCCTGCCACCTGGGAGGCCTTGGACAAGCTGCACAGTCCCAGAGATTCACCAGGAAGAGTAACAGTTAAACAATGCCTGAGTACTTTATACCTAGAAAACCTTAAGGGATCAGTCTAAGTGGGAAATAACTTGACGGCACATGATTACTAAAAGTAGTCTCCTAGATCTGGTTTACATATAACGGTCCTTCCTGCATTATTTCCATACTTCATACATAGAAGGAGACGTGAAGCCTGCTATTGAGCCTACTTCCAAAATCACATGACTTGTTGTTTCCCCAGCTGTCCATAATTTGAGGATGGATGTTGACACATGGACAGCCTACATGTACTTTTTGTGGAGATTTACAGGTTATTTGTAAGTCTAATTGTAGGTGAGGGTGGCATATCCTCATGTGTAACTTTCACATAAGAATACTGAGCCAGCATTACCAAGTCATCAGTTATTGTGTTTAACTGTGGACAGAGAAGAGGCATTACAACGTCTTGTTTGCTGGTTGAGTGTTCACTGTCAAAATATAGTTTAAAGCATCAGTTCATCAGATTTGTATCAAGCAAGGAGCGTTATGGAAAGCAAATAAATCTACTGTCTTCTAGAAGACTCTAGTTTTCTTTCCTCCCAGAATCTATGCCAGATCACATGGAGAAGACAACTCCCGCCCCCAGTATTTGTCCTGAATGCTCCACATTATCCAGATAACACTTATCCTAAATAAATCCTTATTTCAATTTACCTAAAATGTCCAGTTTGGTACAGAAAACCAATATTATGTCAATTTTTTTCTTTTTACCTGGTAGTCTCTCTCTCTCTTTCTCTCTCTTTCTTTGTGTTTCTGTGTCTGTCTGTGTGTGTGAGAGAGAAACTGATATAAGTCATAGAATAAGCATGGGGACTAAAGGTTAGACCTCACACCACATGATGGCACAGATTGAAATCCTGCCAAACCACCCTCACTCCCTGCTGTTGGTGCTTTTTAAAGATTGTGTGGTGTGTTATCATCATGAAACTCTAATGTTAACTGATAGTTTTGACATTTTCAACAGTGCTTGCAATTACCTCACATGGTCAGCATGGGAAGCAAAGTCATGTGATTTTATTGGAAAAGAGAGGGCTCAAAAGGCACTTCAAAGTGAGCTGAAGATCAAGGAGAGCTAGTCCCAAATGAAGTGTGTGAGACTTCAGCTTTATTCGCATATTACATATGTGGAGGGCTTTATTGTGTTTAAACAGGAATGGGCTTCTAGTCTTGTCTTTTCTTAATCTGTCACCAAGGTGTTGAGTATAATAATAATAGCATGTTGTGACTTATAGCAACACTTTCCAGGGTTTTCTTGTTAGAGAATACTCAGAAGTAGTTTACCATTCCTTTCTTCTGGGGGTTCCTTAGATTGTGCAGCTTGCCCATGATTGCACAGGCAGGCTTTTCTCACAGAAGGCACAGTGGGGTTCAAACTTGCAACCTCTGACTCCACAACCAGATCCTAAACCATTGAGTTATCCAACCAAGGGGTGAGTATAATTATTAACAAAAGAATCTTCACATAGATCAGTTGCTTGTATGTTGAGGTGCCACACAACTGGAAGGCTACATACTTTGAATGCCTGATTGCCGAAGTGCTCCTGATTGTGTGCAGCTGCTTTGTGAACAACACTGGTAACTACTATTTTGTTTATCAAATGCATTATTGAAAAGTATGGTATATGTGCCAAGACTTTCTTAAAGTTATATTTGATAAATGTCATTTACAACATGTCCGTTGGCAGATTAGTTGTCAGTATCTGACAAGCTCGTTCATCAGCACCTCAGACTTGAAAATTATCTCATTTTTATTATTGGATATTATTACCTCAGCTGTATAGGCGAGGACAACATTCAACAGCTAATCCTAGCTAGAACAATGGAACCTAGATCAATTTGCAAATGACTTTCAAATTCTCCAGTGATTCAGTGGATATACTCTACTTGGGATTGGCAATTGGCTTTAGGCTGTGATCTTTATTATTTTTAATATCATTTTTATAGAGAGAGAACACCAGAGCCCATTCAGGTTTTCTAGAATCCAGTGTGGTCAACATGGTTAGAGGGGAGTCAGGGAAGCCAAAGAAGAAAGGTTCCTGTATCTTCATACTAGAAATATATCATACCATTCACCCTTTTCCTGAAATATTTCTTACCACTAGCATTGTCTTTCCAGGGTGAATATGAAGGTGAAAATGAAGAAATGAATGATAGAAAGGTAAAATATCTCATATTCTCACTTTGACTGGGATTACATTGCTATGCCTTCATTGGAATTGCCAAACCAAGAGCATTGCATTCTATGTGATTTTGGAGCCAAAGCTTGTGACCAGGTTTTGGATTCATGTGATCTCTAATTTAATTTGTATTCATTTTCATTGTGGGCAAGAATCCCATAGAAGGAATGGAGTAGCCCTCATAGTCAACAAAAGAGTGGGAAAAGCTGTAATGAGATACAATCTCAAAAATGATAGAATGATTTCAATACGAATCTAAGGCAGACCTTTCAACATCACAGTAATCCAAGTTTATGCACCAACCACCAATGCTGAAGACGCTGAAATTGACTCCATTCCTTCTATGGTCTTCTTGCCCACAATAGTAGATATAATAATCATATGAATTGAATACGCCCATTCCTGTCCAATTTCACTGACGCCCAGGATGTCAATGTTTATTCTTGGCATCTCCTGTTTGACCACATCCAGCTTACCAAGGTTCATAGATCTTACATTCCAGGTTCCTATGCAGTATTTTTCGTTGCAGCATTGGACTTTGCTTTCAATTCCAGGCTCATCCACAGCTGAGCGTCCTTTCCGCTTTGACCCAACCACTTCATTAGCTGTGGAGCTACTTGTACTTGTCCTCCGCTCTTCCTCAGTAGCATGTTGGACGCCTTCCGACCTGAGGGGCCCATCTTCTAGTGTCATATCTTTTAGCCTTTTGTTTCTGATCATGGGGCATTCTTGGCAAAGATACTGGAGTGGCATTGCCATTTCCTACTCTAGGTGGATCGCATTTAGTCAGAATTTTCCGCTATGACCTGTCTGTCTTGGGTGTCCCTGCATGGTATAGCCCATAACTTCTCTGAGTTACTCAAGCCCCTTTGCCACGACAAGGCAGCAATCCATGAAAATATTAGCAATCCATAGCAAAACATAGGGGGTGCATAACAATTCACTGAGGCTCTAGCCAGCACCTTGGGAACTGGCAACTTACACATTCACCTATAAAATGGTAAACAAGCCTTTGTGATGAAATCTACCACAAACTAGGCACAATGCAATGTGAGAATCCTGTGCTGTTCCACCACTCACACAAAGTTCAGGAGGGTATGCATGGAAGAATTTCCCACTGGTTGGAATTCATGTGACAGCTTTGAGCAACAGAGAAGCTTGTATGCATGGGGGGGGCATGCACGCACGTGCACATTTCTTCGGCTCTCAAAAATGTTGAAAATATCTGATGTGGCTCTCGGTAGAGATGGGGACGAATATGAAAATGGATCAGCTTTTTCAATGAAAATAGCCAATTCGTTAAATATTCATCCCTTCATATTAGTGGGTTCTGGACACCCCCACAAATCCGAAGGGATGAATATTTACAAGCTCTCGTTAGAGATGGGAACGAATATGAAGAGGGATCAGTTTTTTCGATGAAAATAGCCAATTCATTAAATATTCATCCCTTCATATTAGTGGGTTCTGGACACCCCCACAAATCCGAAGGGATGAATATTTACACATTTTTATTCAAATCCGAAGGGACGAATATTTACACCCCCACTGACACCCCCTTACCTTAATTGCCACTGCCGACGTCTCCTTCTGGCCTTCCAGCCGCGGCATGTAAAAAGGGAGACTGGCTGCGCTTTGCAAAGATGGCGAGTTTGGCTTCATTTAGGGTAGGGAAGCTGCAGCTGTCATCTTTGCAAAGGGCAGTCTGGATTCCCTTAAGTTTTTTATAACCCCCCACACACACCGATGAATAGCTAGCATTCATCTTGTCTAGCTTTCTTCTCAAATTCCTCATGCTCTGAGAAGCTTGCAGACAGGACATGGTAAAGATGGTATCTCCTAATGTTTCCCTTAGTATCAATAATAATAGATCCATTAGTTTTTGATATTAAGGTTCAATTAGCTAGTTACAGTGGGTGATAGCCTTCGGTATACAGAACTCTCATCCATCACATGTTAAGGTCATCTTGCTAGTGAACATTATAATATTTGATTTCATATATTATTTATTTATTTTGTGGAAAAATAGCTCCTTTTTCTATCTTTCTATTTTATGAATGGGTTCAAGTTAATGAATATTGTTTTCTCCTCAGGTGTCGACCTTCAAATGCAATGACCATGATTTCTAAGAAATATGCTTAAATTGGCCATTTTGTTGCAAATAAATCTAGAATGTGTTCTCAATTTGGACAATTCACCATGACAAATTTTGGTGAAAAAAATGCCTCTCTCTGATCCCTCTGCTTCATGACAGTGTTATTTACTGTTGACTGCACCTTTGGAGTAATTAGCTGTAAAAGAGGAGCTGTCGTCAGGAAACTACCATGTGTCTTTATCCATATTAGCACTCCACATTAGCCCAGGCATTCTAAAAAAGCATATTTAAGTTTATAATGTGTAGTGTATTTCTCATTTTCCTGAGTCAAATTCTTCATCTCAGAATAAAAGTACTCATGTTAAATTGGCATTCTGAAAAACCCACATATGCATGTACTGTGTAGTATATCTCTAATTTTCTAAGTTATGCCCCACTACAGGGAGAAATACAGAATAGAAATGAAGTTGAATGAGTAAATAAATAGATATTGGTGAATATGTCCCTGTGACTAGACATTTTAATTGGTCTTTCTTAGGCCATAATGTGCTTCATGAAATGCTGTGGCTGCAATAGCATGCATTTTTTTTTAAAAAATGTGCATGGAAAGTACAGTGTTTTATAACAGTGGTATCATCCTCACTGTTGTATTCGTTATCAACTCTTTTGGTCACATCTGGCACATTATGCTTGCTCTTTTCATTGTGGTATGAACATTCTACATGAAAAAATTGATTCTTGCATGTGAACTGGGCATGATAGTCCCAATTACAATTATGATTGACAGTTCTAGATAGCCTTTCCTTCAGTGAAATTGAAGAAGTGTACAGGGCTTTTCTCCTTTCCCTTTATCGCAAAAACAAGCCTGTAAGAGACATAGGGTGAAATGAGAGCAAGTGGCCCAAAGTTACCTGTGGAGTTTCATAAGTCAGCATGATCTAAATTCTTGACTGTCCAGGGCAGGAGCTGTACAGGAGAATTTCATGGCAGACCATTCTGCTAAAGAAAAGTTGACAAAAACCATATCTGGCCACTAAGGGGTGCTGAAAATCCATGAAAGAATAACATTGAGTTAAAGAGGTGTAGGTAATTGCTGAGTGAGGAGAGCATCACTTTTTTTCTGTAAAGAGAAGAGCAGTGTGTGCCTAAGTAAAAGTAGTTTAAATATTCTTTGGGAGAAGAAAATGGTAAAATAGCAGCTAATTGCAAGAGCTCACCAAATAAAATACTAGAGGGTTGCCGGTGGAGTGGGGGACACAACTTTAAAAAGTCTTACTGCCTGGAAAACTATTCACCCTCCAAGTTGGGCTGCCCTTCTTTTTATCCTGCCCATTTAGGCCCTCTTATGAAGTGTTAAGTATTAAAAACATAAAAGGTTCTTTCCAGAAATACTGCATTGATTGCTCACATATGTTTCTGTTGCCCAGCCATAAGACTTCACTGTAGGATTTCTATGTATACCATCATCTGTTTTCTATCTGAACCTGAATAGCTTCAGTGTTTAATTTCCTGAAATGCCCTGATCAGATTTAAAGGAAAGGGAGACATTTTTTAAAAAACCGTTTTCTTCTTTCACCCCCATTTGACAGTGTCCCCTCTACATATGCAACTTCCATTCCCCTTGCTAGCAGTGTGTGGCCCCCAGACAAAGGTGGACTGAGACCGTCTGGATTATATTTCCTTATAAGGAAGCCCTATTGATTAAGATTTATGTACCAGCTCATAAAGCAAAAGGTAATCCCAATTAATTCTTTTCAGTCTCTTGTTGCAGAAAAGGCCCTAATGGAACAAAGACTTGGGGTTATGTCTGCAAAGAAGCATTCTGCATAGCACATACTCTGTCTGAGGCTGTTAGTTAAGAATATAGGGATTTCCCCACTTAAAATTGCAATCCTATACTCTTTTACCTCAAGACACTGAACTCAATTGGATTTACTTCCTAGTAGATATGCATGATACCCAGTATGGTGTGATGGGTAGAGTGACAGACGATGACTCAAATGTAAGAGTGGATGATACCTTTTGTTGGACCACTTAAAATATCAATCAAATTCCAAGCTTTCATAGAGAAAATTCCACTTCTTCAGGCTCAGCACAACACCCTCGCGGATACTGCATAAAAATTGTACACGCAAGTCCAAAAATGATTGGTACATGTCTGTGAGTTGATGTAAGTGCCCTGAGGCTGCGGTCTCAAGCCTCTCTGCAGCATGATTTGGAATTTTTATACCCCTCTCCTAGGACCAAAAGGATCGCCTCTCCCACTCACATTGTTAGTAGCATAGTTTTTAAGGGGCCAAGGGAATTTAGAGTTATGTTAATCTCTCAATATGGTTCCTTCTTTTGTATATCCTTTCTCAGAACTGAAGATGGCTGAATAGTCATGCTATCTTCATCATACAGTTGCACATTGCTAGAAGCTCTTTTCCATCTGCTTTTTTTGCAGTGAGGGGTGAAACTATATTAATCTCTTTGGAAGGAAGCCTCTACTGCAGTGAATATGAGGCGGGCTTAGATGTATGCAGTGTTGTAAAAATAATTTTCTTTGTAAACATTTCATAATATTAAACACATGCTCATTTTAACGATTATCACCCTGCTAATAATTCTTCCACAACTTTTCCCATCTCTAGAGATGAACCAAAATGTACCCTCCAGTATATTGCTCAATTTCTTATAAGACAAATGGGGAAGGCTCATTTCAGTTGGCGAAACACCTCTGGCATTTAAACAATACTACCTAATTTGTGGCAACTCTTGGATTATTTATTTTTGTCTTTAAAGTATAAAACCAATACTACAATCAGTGAAGGGGCACATGGGATGGAAAGACCCAGAACACTAGTATAGAATCCCAAAAAATCCTTCCAGCTTTCCTAATATAAAAGCGGCCTAGGTCCTCTCTATTTTCCATGCGTAAAGGAGCCAGTGTCTTTCCTCTAGCTAGCTAGATACAGTTCTAAACAGCAGCTGGATTATATATTTTTCAAAGATGGGGACTCAAACATCTCTGTCTTCCTTGCTCCCAGCAGTCCTGGGACAGCCCATGTGAAATCTGAAACAATTGCACAATCTGTTAGAGTCTTATTTGAATGTCTGCAGACCTCTTCTCTCCCATTCTGTCCCAAGACTGTGATCATGCAATCAAGATGACTACAGCTTAGTCAGCCTCTTCCCCCCCTCCCTTTACCATAACCTGCTTTTTGTAACATCTTGTCTGCTAAAGATATTTTATTAAGTGCAGTGTGTACACTGACTAGTATGGTGAGTACGATCTACTCTACTTAGCAGAGCTAGTTTAGGAAAGGAAATACACCTTGGCAAAGACCATGTGGTATATTCTCTTCTTACCTCCCTTCTCCTCCTGTCCTTTCTTTACGTCTCTCATCTCTTGAGCACCTAACGATTCCTCCTTTATATTGTCTTCATCCTCTGTCACTGTCATCACTCCAATCCCAGTGTTCAACACTTTCTTGCTTCACCTTCTCCACCAGCCCTTCTGTATGTCTATTGCTTTTGTTGCTGTTAACTGCTCCAAATGAATGTTCAGCACTCCCTCACCTCTAAGGGTAGCCTGAGCTCTCATACTGCTTGTGGCAGAAGAAGTACCACTCTTCCTGCTGCCCTCATCTTTGCTGCTGCCTTGCTTTCTCCCATCTCCCCCAAATTTTTTATCTCCCCCTATGTGTCTCATCTCACCATGCTTTGCAGCAGTGATGGCACCACCCACCATCTATCTGCTCATCTGCCTGCCCCTTCCTATATGTAAAGCCACAGCTTTATGCACAGGGCAAACAGATTATCAGGTGTCTAGACCAGTGGTCTTGCCACTGCAAAGCAAGCTATGGCACATGGGATGAGGAAAGGCAGATATTTGAGACAGTGATGGGGCCATTCACACCTTGATGTTCAGTTAACTTGCATGCCTCTGTCTCTTTCTTCTCCTGCTCTGTCTACCATGGTGCTTGCTTCAGCAAGAATTCACAAGTCAACACCTGAAGCACATGGTATTTTATTCCTGTTTCAGTCCCCACAAAACTTCAGATCTGACTTCATTGTACATCCTGTAAAATTACAGTTCACTTCATGTTAGTACAGTTCATTCTTAGAATGTAAGTTCTGTTGCATTCAGTGGGCCTCACACCGAAGTCAATATTAGAGATGGGATAGTCATGTATGAATGCAAATATCCCATCTCTAGTCAATATATTAATACTGTAGTCACAGGTCAATTTGTGCCTTACTTTGTAATTACTCTTGCTTGGAATCTTAATTTCTTTTTACTTAGATTTCAACCCAATACAGTTCTCTATAAATCTAAATTATTTGAATAACTTTATTGCAGTATGAAACCATAGGAATACATCTAGCACAGTTACATGATCTATATTATTTTAAGCCCTCTAGGTGGAAACTCACTTGCGAGTGGGAATGGTAAACCACTGGAATGGTACAATTCACATAACTCAAATGCTGTCTTAAAGTCAAGAGAGAATTGATGGCACATAACAAGGACAAAATGTTATTATACCCAGTTGAAAGACTACTGTGACCAAACATACATACAAACAAACACACACAATCACCACCAGTTTAGATGCTGACCTTTCCACCTGGTGGAGCTCAATCCTAGCACTGATTAGGTCCTTAAAACTTCCTTTGTCTCACTTAGTATCAACTGTTATCTGCTTTTTTCCTCAGCTGCTGTATCAAGAGTGGGCACGATATGGAGCATTTTACAAGTTTCAGCCTATTGACCTCATAAGGTAATAAGCCAATCAAAACATTCCACTGTGGCATATTTTTGGTTTTTTTAAACTGGTTAAAACTTCATTCATTTGCACCAGATGAAGATTCTTCCCATTGTATCTGAAGGTGAGCACTTGTGTCTTAATTTCTATCATAGAATATATTAGACTTTCTTGAAAAAAAGTCCATAATCCATTAATTCCTGAAAAAAATTGAGGTTAGTTCTTTTTTCAATATGTTACTTAATACAGTGGTGCCTTGCTTAGCGATGTTAATTGGTTAAAAAAAAACATCGCTATGGGAAAACATCGCTAAGCGAAACACCATTTCCCATAAGAATGCATTGAAAACCAGATAATCCGTTCCAATGAGAACGGATTACCGTCCTTAAGCGAAAATCGCCATAGGAACTATCACTAAGCGAAACGCGGTACCCCCATTGAAATGCATTGAATAGGTTTCAATGCATTTCAATGGTTTTGACAGGTCCGTATTCGCTATTTTTAAAGTGTCTTAAAATGTTCAAAAACTGTTTCAAATGCTTGGGATTATTAGTGCACCTTGTACAACCTTTGCAAACTTAATTTGGCTTTGTTCTGACTCTTCGTTAATTTTTGGTGAATTCCCCCCCCCCCCGTTGGAATGCAGTTGTCAAACCTACTGTTCAATGCATTCCAATGGGGGGGAATCACCAAAAATGCTGACTGAGGGGTGGCTATATTTTGCCTATTGTTTGGTCTACTGTGGAGGCAGGCTGGTTTGTTCCTTTTGTCAACAATCAGGCAATGTAATTGTTAGAGTGAAAACTAGCCCATCCCCAGAGTGTTCCTATCCACACCTTTCTGGGTCCCTTTCAGAGGCAACTGTTTCTTTGGGATAGGTAGAATTGCTCCATTTTTGTTCATTTCCAGGATGTGTGATAGCTGAGATTGAACCAAAACAGAGCAACAGCTTGCTGTTTTAAGTTCACAACTGGTTCCAATTCCCCAATGTCATTTGTGGCTGGTGCAGACAGCTTAGCCACTTAATGATACTGGGAAATTCAAAACTTCTTCTGCTCCTCTGGCAGAGAGAGGAAGCAATAGGTGTGTAGGCCATGTGGATGAAGTGACTCTACTTAGTCTGCACCAGTCCACCCCAAATAAGCCATCTAGCTAAGCCCTGAGAGGTGAAGTCTGACAACAAAAATATAATTTTACACTCCTGTATTAGCATAGCAGTTCCATTTGTAGTTTGTTCCTGTTAACGTATTTGCCGCCCAGTGTACAAATTGATGTTACCTTGAATGAGCCATTGCTGTGGAACAACCATAGCTCATTCTTCATGTGACCGTGCTCATATCTAACTCAGCCCCAAACTGTATCATATGCAAAATTTTTACTGCACTTTAGACCGTCTTCTGGGAAACCCTGTGGGTTCTTAGTAAGGAAATGAGCAATGGTGAGAAAGTTTGCCCATCATGGTTGACCTCACTGTAACCCTCCCCTGCAAATGAATGGAAACCTGTTTTTGCAGCGCTCTGTCACTACATGCAAGGTTCAATGAAGGTGAGCAGGCCTATTTAGCACCTCGTGTTGACTGGGAGCTTGGACAAAAAAGTCCACCCTTCATTGTGTAGCTGGCCCTCTGCAGACATCTCAATGTAGAAAGGGTTCCTTGAAGATAGGAAGTTCAAAAACCACACCAGTGAAATATGTGCTGTCACTAAGATGGCATCCTGATTAAATCAAACCATATTTGGATGCCTCTGCCTGCACCAAAACACCGCTCCTGATGTGGTTTTATATTAGCCACAGATATAACTTGTGCTGTTGTGTAACAGAGATAATTATCTTCGTGTCGAATGACTCATGGCTGGGCAAATGTGAAGATGTGAAGAGATGGGGTGGGACATAGGTATGAAAAAAATGAATAGACTTCCCAGATAAATGACTCAGCAGCATTTAATGTCTTTTGTATATCTCGCCCATTCTCCTAAAGACATTTGAAATTCTTTCCAATGCATGTCACATATCATAATGCTACTGCAGGTGGCCTGGACTTGTTAAATCTTTTTCCCCTCCCCCATCTCCCTTACAATCCATTCTCTCACACGTTGGAATTTAATTAGGGTACAATTGCTTGGCAAAAATACAGAGAGGATGTCAGTACAGCTGTCCATTCAAACTGTGCATTAACTCTATTGCCAATAGCCAGGTTTTCCATAATACATGCCTGGGACATGATCTGAAGTGATGTGAGTCAACAACTTTCTGAAATTAGTTCTGTTCAGTACAAAAATAGGGAGAGTATCATGTGCAGAACTTTGACCTTCCCAGAGGAAAGACAGGATGCAAATAAGGGTTTTCCAAAGATATTTTGCTGCCTGGTGGCAGCAGCAAATAATGGAGGTTATCCAGTGAGTTTCATGTCCAAGTGGAGATTTAAACTCAGGTTTCCCTGTTTAACACTACCCACTAAGCCAAACTGGAAATGTGCATTGAGCTGTGTACCCTTATATGTACCTTTCAATAAATTTCCATTTCACTTTTCACAGAGTGTGGGGATTATCTGTCCTTATTTCACAGCAGAACTTGGAGGAATGTATTATGAGTAAACATACATGGATTTAGGTTGCTAGTCTGGATACTTGAAGGAATACATTTCCCTATACACCTGTTCAATCACTAAGATATGCTGAGGGGGCCTTCTTTGTGTTCCCTCTATGCAGAGACCTGGGGAAGAGCTTTCTGCACTGTACTACTCTGGTTATGGAATAATCTCTCCTTAGAGGCTTTATTGATACTCTTACTAACCTTACTTGCTTCCAAGTAAAAACATGGTTATTCACCAAGGCCTTTGGAACTTAAAGTTGTGGAGGATTCTTTCCTCTGTGATCTCCTCTCCCTCCATCATAGACAGTTCTTCCCTTCACCCTGAATTCTATTTCTGGATATGCCACATAATTATTTATAAGATGAGGCCCTTAACTGTGGGATCGAGGGGAGCAGTGATGAGTTCTATTTCCCGGTCCATCAAGTCTGTGGAGGCTGCCAGTTCACCACCAAAATATCATAATGCCCACCACCCTGGTATTGCAAAAGTTCCTCAGTATTCTTTCTCATGCCCAGAAAGAACACAAATTAGAGAATCATCCTGAATTTCAAATGGTATGAATTGGCATGTGAGAAAACAAAAATTTTGAATAGAGGCTCTGAAAATAGTCATGGAAAGTAGGCAACTATCTAGCTTCCTTAGACTTGACAGAAACATATCATCTGTCTTACCAGAGGTTCCCCCACTTTAAGTACTTCTTGTTGTTTAGTCATTTAGTCGTGTCCAACTCTTCGTGACCCCATGGACCAGAGCACGCCAGGCCCTCCTGTCTTCACTTTAAGTACTAAGACAGCTTTATTTAAAAAAAAAAGAGCGTTACCTCCTAACCTCAAATATCTATGGAAGTGTTAATACTTCTCATTGTCCATCTGCAGGCCAGGAAAATTCACAGGTTCTGCTCAATATCTGCTCTTTGTCTTACCTTGGTTTTATTGTAAACAGGGACAAGTCATTTAGAATTTGTTCATTAAATTCAGCATGTTAATGGTCTGATGGGTAAGAGCAAAGTCTAGTCTCTTGAAGAGAGGAGGGATTACAGAAACTGTAGATCTCATGAGGTTTGCAGTATTTCTAGGACTGATGGTGGCATGCACAGAAGCTGTTCCTAGTGTAGGGTTTTCCCTGGGGGAATTATGCCAGTTGCTGGTCCAGTGACAGGATCAGATTGCTGCTAAAACACATATGCCCATTCCAGTCCTTCTTCAGGTCCCAGAAGGCAACATCCTCTGGTAATCTATTAAGAGTTCATATGGCAACATAAATTTTGGAGGGTCCCCTGCAAGCCAACGTTGGCCCCAGGCAGATGTTGTCCTGAGTTCAAAGTAGTATAAATTGGCTAAAACGTCAAGGACCACATATGGTCCTGTTGTCATTCAGCAACATAATTAAGGGGAAAGTCATACACAGACATGTGCATGAAAAGTCACATCGCAAGGCAAGAGGGTCACTAGATCATACTCCTTTATGAAGAAGGCAGACCTCCTCCTATCGTGGGAGAATACTGTCAGCTCTGTTATAGGAGAACATTTCAGCAGCCAATTCAGCTCTCAGGCTGCATGGTTATGCTGGATCCAGAGGCTTTCAGGACCATAACATTCAGACTAAACTACTCTGTGGTGGACCTCAGCATTTCCTGTTCCAGGAACCTTGGACACTACATTCAGACTAAACTACCCTGTGGTGGACCTATTTGCATTCTCAGCATTTCCTGTTCCAGGAACCTTGGAGAATTAATGTTCTGATGCTGAGGTGGGTTTTATATATAGATATATATTTCTTCTGCTATTCCTGCTATCAGTACTTTGCAAGGCATGGTTGGATACAATGGAACTGATCCCAGTAGCTATCAAATGGGCCAGGAGGCCTAGATACCTGCTTTCATTACACCTGTTGTTTCAAGATTTCTGACAGAACTTGTCTCAAGTGTCAGTCTTCCACCCAGACCCTTCCTGGTTTCAGCTCTGCACTTGGAGAATGAGTGGCAGTGCCTGATTGAGAAGGGCTATGGGGATAAAAGAGTAGCAGCCATCTTAGTGACATGCAGACAATCCATTCAATGTATTTATAAATGCATGTGCTGTGCCTTCTGCCACTGGTACCACAGGAATATCTCTCATCCTGTTGAAGTAGATGTCAAGTATGTGTTTACAGACTAGTTTAGATAAAGAACTGAAACCTTCTGTGTTACGACACCACCGAGTTGTTTTGGCATCAGTTTTCAAGGGAAGGAGCTGCCTTGGTGCAACTCCCCCCCATATTTTTAGGGTGACATAGCCTGCTATGTGCTTTCCAAGTAACCCAGTTTTCCATTTCCTGAGGGCTAGGATTTCTTGAGGTTCATCCATTTTAAGAGGTGGGTAGTTCTTGAGATGGAAACTCTTTTTTCCAGCTGCCGTTTCATCAGCTTGATACGTCTCTGAGCTCAGAGTACTATCTGTTAGGGAAAAATCTCTGTTTGGTTCAGAATGATTCTGTAGTTCTTCACCTAGATCCCCCCCTATGCCCCCATCAAAAGAAAGAAATTACATGCACACAGGCAGTTAAGGTTTGTTTTTGGCCCCCACTATTGATTTCCATTTGTCTGCTTTTCTTCTTGTCTCTTGTTACACATCAACTATGGGATGTAAGGTATCTAGTGCCACTCTAGCCAGATGGCTTAAGGCTTCATTTCCTTCAAGGGGCTCTTTTGTATTCTTCCAGGAGTGTACCAACCTTTGCTGTGTTTATTGCTGATCAATATCTGCAGAGAAGCCACATGACTTTCCCCATCTACCTTTGTTAAATGAAGGGGAAGTAGCTCTCATATAGCAAAGGTACTCTAAATTTATGTTTTTGCCCTTGCAGAGGCTTCCTTGAGGTGCTGCATTCTCTAACAGTTTGTCCCTTGACAGTCGCCAGTTTAACCACCTGTGCATGTCCCATTCTAGACTACCTTACTCCTTTGTAGGAGGAAGGGAAGTTAAATTTACTATGAAATATTCTTTTCTGCTTGAATGGAGGATAGTCTATCTCACTCAGTCCTGTTCCCCCCCCCCCCCCGGTCTAATGTTATTCTCGTGCTGCATGGCTGGTCTTGTGAATTCCTCTCAGATTTTTCAGTTCAGTGGACCTCTGGTTATTAATATCTGGGTGGGATAGTAACAAAGGTACTGGAAAGTTTCATTGGCTGAAATCCTATTATTCAACATAGTACATCACCCTAGAGTAGACACTGTGGAGGCCTTGGTTCATGAAATTCCCAATGATTCAGTGGGCCCACTTTAGTGCAGTTACTGCAGTAAACATCAGGACTTCAGCCATCAACAACTTAGGTCTGCCTGTGGAGCAAATGGGCAGCAGTGACCCACTCTAGATTATTCTTCATCCATTGCAGAAGAAGATATTTCATGGAAAACATGAATTATCTAGCTGAAATCATTTTGTAACTCTCTGTCTTTATTCATGTTTTATCCATCTGTCCTCCTCTTTCCAATATCTAATGTAGTTGTTAAGTCTTTATTGTGTATTAGTCAAGTGTAATCTTGTATAGTGATATGGTGTGCTGACAATATGACAAGGATGACAGTATGAAGTATTAATAATGTACAAACCCATCCCATTTTCCCCTTCTAACCATGTCAAGAATTACGATGGTGACAGCTTTCTGTTTTTGCTAAAAGGCCTCAGAAAATAAAAAGGCCTTCTTCTGGTGCTGAAAAGACATCAGAGCAGACACCAGAGAGAGTTAGAGTTAGCCTCTGCATTTGACAGTCTGAAGTAGCTGCTTTAGATTGCAAAGAAGCAGGATGAGCAAATTCTGATGCCTCTCCTTGGAGAGCCACCTCTACATTGTCTCCCTCCTTTCTCCACTGTTGCCGCCACCATGGTTCACTGCCTGTCCACTCTGTGTGCAAGGCAATACCTTTTTTCAGAGAGTCAGCAGAAAGAGCTGTAGGCAATATTTTATATAAAAACTGCTACCATGGTTCACTGCCTGTCCACTCCTGTGTGCAAGGCAACACCTTTTTTTCAGAGAGTCATCTAGATCTGGAAATCTGAGACATCCAACAGCAGAAAGAGCTGCAGGCAATATTTTATATAAAAACGTATATGCTTAACTTCTGCTGTAGCATATTCAAAGGCCAGTTACTTAACATGATTGTTTGATTAAAAGAAGAGGTGCATTGCAGCATTAAATATCCTGTAGATTTCAATTACAAAAGCATTTATTAGAAAGTTGTAAATGCCCATTGGGTTCAGTTTCCATGAAACATGGAGATCGTGGTATCAATCATGACACAAACCTACCCAGACCAACTATACGGAGATGATAAACGCAATCTATATTGACTCTGCAATTTACAAATTAAAACAAAATTTTACAAGAATGGAGAGTGTGACAAATATTGTTTGCCTGCTTACACCTAATTCAGAGGTTACAGAGAAACAGATTGGTGTCCCATCAGTATGCTGTATCATCGCTGTGCCCCATATCCATATCAGTGGTATGTTCTCAATGGCTTCATGTAATGTTAAATAGCACTGGGGACAAAATGGCACCTGTGGCACCCCAGAGAATAGTTGTCAGTGTGCTGAGGCAAAGTAATTCAGTTTTATTTTTCCAAACTAGCGCTGCTAGTAGATGTCGATCTTTTGTCCAGACAAACTCCTTGTGTTACTCTCAGTGATGTTATGAAGAAAGTGGCTTAGAAACAGCCCAGCTGCCTTTTCACGTTCAAAAGATCTTGAACTTCCAAATCACCTTTGAAGTCCTGTTTAAAGGTCCTATTGATATATTATCAGAGCAGCACCACAATATCATTTTCCTGTCCTCTGGTTTCACCTGACTTTAATATTGTGTGGAAGAAACTGCCATCATGTGGTTCACTGTGATTATGTTTTTTACTGGCTACAGCAATGGCAACCAAATATTAGGTTTGGGATGCTGGTCTGGGAAATAGTAACATGATATAGTGGTCCATATTAGGAGTATGCTGGGGTAGAATTTCAGTTTTTCCCGAAGTCCACACAACACAAGGCTGAAATTGGTATAGCAGCATTGAAGGTGTGACAAATAGCCTTACTTTGGGGGATTTTTTAAATTACTAGCAGGTGCTTTTGTTCTGCATTGCTCTTATTTGCACTGGTACATTATCTCCTTGTGTGGACCCTAGTACTAAGCTGATTCATGCTCCTCTTCACTGTTTGTGGGTGTATCTCATGCTTGTGGATGTGTTTCCACTGGTCATGGATTCACCATTCCATGACTCAGCACTACTTGCAGCTTGTTTGGTTTCCATACAACATTTTCCCCCCATTTACTTCTTCTATCTTACTAATTTAAATTATCCATATTAATTTTGAATCAGAAGCTGGAACACTTCCCTATTAGTAATTGTATGAACATATCAGCTGTGTTTTGTTATGAATGTTTCCGCTCCGCTGATTTCCATCTGTGGCGCATTGCCCAGCTGCGTCAATCTCTTGATGTTGGGGCACTCACCACTTTGATCCATGCACTCGTAATCTTGAGATTAGACTTCTGCAATGCGCTCTACATGGGGCTACCTTTGAGATTGATGTGGAAGCTTCAAATGGTGCAGAATGCGGCAGCCAGACTTCTTAGTGGGACGAGAAGATTTCAGCATATTTCTTCCACTCTGGCTGCTTTGCATTAGCTGCCCGTTCGTTTCCACATTGATTTCAAAGTTTTAATGATCACATATAAAGCCCTAAATGGTTTAGGACCTCGATACCTGGCAGAATGCCTCCTCCCACTCGTTCTAGCCAGGAGGGGTGGCTGAGGAGCCTAACGCTGAGGGAGGCCTGGAAAGAAAAAACAAGACACCGGGCCTTCTCGGCAGTGGCCCCCCCCCACCTCTGGAACAATCTCCCCTCCGAGATTCGCTTGGCCCCCTTCACTGGGTATTTTCAAGAGTCAACTCAAGACCTGGCTATTCAGGCAGGCCTTCCCTCCGGTCACCATCTGATTTATTCCTGTTTTCCATCATGAATGATTTTCTTACGGTTGTTAAATTGACAATTTTTGATTGTTTTTATTCCATTTCATTGTGAGCTGACCCAGAGTAGATGCTGTCTAAATGGGCAGGATACAAATTTAATAAATAAGTAAGTAAGTAAGTAAGTAAGTAAGTAAGTTAAATAAATAAATAAATAAATAAATAAATAAATAAAAGGGGTGACAATAAGGGTTGAGAGCAACAGGACAAGATATTAATAAATCCCAGTACATCCAGCAGCATTTGCATCTATGATGATCAGTTTAAAACACTTCAGATCAGCAATAACAACAAAATACTCCAAAAGGACTGAGAAGAACACCACTGTATGGACAAACTTTCTGTGTCTCTGCCTCTCCAAGCATTTCTGCCCTGTGTTTCTGTGACATAATCAAGGCAGTGTAAGGTTGGAATCTTCTGCATCTGCTGGAAAACAATCAGATTCTTTTTTAAAATTCTTTTTGATGATGGGAAATCTGTAATAGAGCCTTGTGATCTTGTATGTGTGCAGCCTGGAGTGCCATACTAAAGCTGTAGCAAAAACACTGCTTCATCAACTCACTATCTTTTTAGATATTGATTTTGGGTCCTTGCCAGAAACCAGTTTTGCTAACAGGCAGGTAAAACATAGGATGGGGATATCTGTTTGCAAAATACTTTGATATTCATTGAGGAACATGATTTGCAGAAGAATTGTGGTAAACCTTTTGAACTATATTTTGTTTTCTTTTTCTAGAAAGTATTTTGGAGAAAAAATTGGAATGTATTTTGCCTGGCTGGGCTTATACACAGAGTTTCTTATTCCATCTTCAGTAGTTGGAGTCATAGTGTTCCTGTACGGCTGTGTAACCATTGAAAGTGATATTCCTAGGTAAGATGGATGTACACAATATGGGATAACGGTGGGGAGTACTGTTCATATGTGCTGGGTATATTGCCAATGATTATGTGTGCTGAAATGCACCTTTTTGTAGAAGCATTACTCTGTGTGTGTATTATGTACCATCAAGTCAGAAGTGACTGACAGGAACCTTTCAAGGTAAGTGAGATATTTATGGAGTGGTTTTTCCATTTCCACATTCCCAGTAAGCTTACAAGGCTGAGTGGGGATTTGAACCCTGCTCTTCAGAGTCCTAGTCTGTCACTTTATCCACTGCATTCCACTGGGAATCTAAGCATTACAGAATGTAAGCTTAATTCATAAAACTCAGTGAAGGAAAATGAGAGAGGCTTTTTTTATTTTCTCCTCTCCTTATCCCTGTTCCTAGATGGGTGTTTTTGTTATATCTACTGTACTTCCTACCACTTTACTTCTCTGCATTTACCCAAATTCGTCCATCAATATGTTTAGATGCTCATTAAAAACTAACCTCTCTTTTTTGGCACTCAAAAATATCTTTTCCTTCTCCGACTTCTCCTTCCTTCTTCCAGTCCCATATCCTCGTATGCTTACCCTCTAAGAGATAAACTTGACATGATGCTCAGCTGTGTTGTGGATCTCCAACTCTGTCTTCTCTTTTTTCCTCACTGTGTGCAACCAGATGCAGCAGATTGAGGCAGAAGGCTGTTACCCGCCCAATGGGGCAATTGGGTGGGTGTGGGGGATACATAATTACAAATCAATTTAAAACTATACCAAATGTTCCTCTTATCTATACTATACCAAATGTTTGCCCTTTAGACTGTTAGCTGGAAGTAGACTTTGATTTCCTTATACTACATGATTAGAAATATAGTATCTATTTATTGTAGGTACTATGGAAAGCACTGCTCTTATTACTAACAATAACTGCACATGAGGATTGTGCTTTGAATGTACACATATTTTTCTTGCTCTTCTCCTATTGGAAGTTAGAAGTCATCATCAGCTTCTGATCTGGCAGCTTTAAACAATGAAGCTGTGTTGCATTGAATCCAGTCTCCAAAGTTCTTCAGCCAAGAAGTTCTTTTTACACTCTTTTTTCCATTTATTTTATCTTGAATGATCAACTATAGCAATTTTTTACTTTTCATTTGTCATTACATGCCATTACATCTTTGCATTCTGCAATAAATAAAAATCATAATTAAAAATTATAATAGCGACAAGTATGGAGAATAGGAGGAATTGTGTACAATTCTGTGTCTTACAGTATGTATTTATTTTATTTATTTAAAATATTTTACCCTGCCCTTCTCCTCGAAAACAACCAAAGGCAGCTTACATAATGAAAAGACATTATTCAAAAGCTAAAAACAGTACATACACAAATATTAAAAAGAGTAAACACCCTGCCCTTCTCCTCCAAAAGGACCAAAGGCAGCTTACATAATCAAAAGGCAATATTCAAAAGCTAAAAAAGTACATACACAAATATTAAAAAGAGTAAAACAAATACCACACCAAAAATAGTAAACAAAATCAACACACACACACACAAAACCCATATTCAAAGCAACAAGAGACAACACTCCATTTAAACCCCCTCTCAGACAGCCAATCCCTAAGGAAAAGCTTGCCTGAAGAGAAAGGTGTTTGCTTGCTTGTGGAAGGACAGCAAAGATGGGCTGCCTGGCCTTCTATGGGAGGGAGTTCCATTGCTGAGTGCAGTGACAGAGAAGGCCCTCTCCTGTATCCCCAGCAAATGTACCTGTGAAAGTGGTCGGATGGAGAGAAAAGCCTCTCTCGATTATCTTAACACTTGGGGCAGGCTCATAATGGGAGATATGGTCCTAAAAATAGCTGGTACCCACACCATTTAGGGCTTTTGTCAAGTTAAAAATAGCACTTTGAATTATGCCTGGAAACAGACTATCAGCCAATGGAGATTCTGTAACAGAGGAGTTGTGTGATCCCTGTAACCAGCCCCAGTTAACAATCTCCCCAACCCCAGTACTGATTTGAATGCAATACTTTACAGTTTGTTATAGTATTTGTTATACACATATTACTTTATGGTGGAACTATAAACAATTGCTCATGCCATTATAAATAATTATAACATGCATGTTAGATAGTTCATTGTATTGAGTTTTACAGTACTGGGGATTCTGTTTATTACACCGGATGGAGTTTCTTTTCTACAGTTGAGTTCTGTACTCCCTAGTTGTTACCCAGTTAATAATCTGGCTGCAGTGTTTTGGACCTGCTGAAGTTTCCGAACACTTTCCAAAGGCAGCCCCACGCACAGTGTGCTACAGGAATCCACATGGGATGTAACTAAGGCCTGGGTCACCATGGCCAGATCAGACCTCTTCAGGAATGGCACAGCTGGTGCATTAGTTTTAACTGTGCAAATACACTTCTGACCACTGCCAAATCCTGGGCCTCCGAGCTCAGAAATGAATCCAGGAGCACCCTCAAGCTGCACGTTGGTGTTTTCAGAGAGAGCGTAACCCTGTCTAGCACAGGCTGCATCCCTATTCCTTGCACTGCACACTTGTGTTTTCAGAGAGAGTGTAACCCTGTCTAGCACAGGCTGCATGCCTGTTCCTTGCTGTGCCTTTTGACTGACCAGAAGCTCCTCTGGCTTCTCTGGCTTAAGCTTCAGTTTATTCATCCAGTCCATTACTGACACCAGACACTGATCTAGGACTGAAACAGCTTCCTCAGATTTAAATAGAAAGGAGAGAGAGAGTGGGGTCTCGTCCACATACAAGTGACACTGAACCCAAAATTCCAGACAACCATTTCCAGCAGTTTCATGCAGATGTTAAATAACGGGAGGAGGGGGGATGGAGGCAGAACCCCAAGAGATTTCCCAGATCAACAACCAGCTGGGAGTTCCCCAGCACCATCGTCTGAGTTCCCTTCCCAGTGAGCAAGATATCATGGTCTATAGTATTGAAAGCTGCTGAGACATCCAGCAGAACCAACAGCAACACTGTCTCGCTGTTCAGTTCCCAATGTAGATCACCCACCAAGGCAACCCTAAACATAACCAGGCCTGAAGCTGGACTGAAATGGATCTAGATCAGCCATTCTCAACCACTTTTGGCAACAGCCGTAAACACAGTGTGAAATAAAGAAATATAGGCCAAATCAGGATTGTGTAAGCCACATAATGAACTTTATGAGGTGATGTGTGAAGAATTGTTTCCAGTTTGTGGCCTGTTTCTGATATGCCAGGGGCTCCCAGGGGGCCATATCCCCCCCCCCCAATTGAGAATGGTTGATCTAGATAATCTGACTCATCCAGGAAACTTTGGAGCTTTAGAAGTCATGAACCACTCCAGCATGTTGTCCCAAGAATGGAATATTAGAGACAGACTGGCATATTATCCCGTATCATGGTATCCTACTGAATATACAGTATATTGCACCATACACTACACATTCTCAAAGCCAATTTTAACTTTTAGTTACATAATACATCATTCATTGTAAGAAAGCTGCTCCAAGCTATCTCTGTTCTGGATTTTATTGTGTGCCTATGATCCCATAGTTCATTTAAGTAAATTCCTGTAATATTTGTGAACTCTGACCAGACTTTCATTTTGGATTTTTAACTACATTCCTGGGCTGCTCCCCTTTTCCTAATAACTATGAGCTTTGATTTCTTGACACTCAGTTATAGAACATGTTTATAGCTTTCTCTGTTGACTTTGTTAGGCAACTTTTGCAAATCATCTAAATGTTCAGTGTAGTGGTGCTGTACTTTCTGCTCGTTGGATGTGGTTTGAGAGCCTCACCGCTGACATCATTTGAATACATCATTTGAATCAACTTCCTGCTCATTGGATGTTGTTTGAGAGCCTCACCATTGACATCATTTGAATACATCATTTGAATCAGCATATGCTTCTCTAAAGATGTTCTGAGATTACACATTAAAAAGCAATGGTGGGAGTGTACATCTTGACATACTCTTCTTTATATTTCCCTGTCTTCTATAATCTGGTCTTCAACTTTCAGTGAAGGGTTTCTGTTGCCAGTATAGTTGCCAATTATACAAATATATCACTTGAGTCAAGACCTTATATACATAAGGTAACAAATTAGGAATCCATCTTCTCAGTTACACTATGGATGCAACCTTTGTCTTAAATTATATTATCACTGTAGGAAATTGACTAATATCAAAATACTGGCATTTTTGACAAAACTGTATCTATAGCACCCTCTGCTGTCTTTAAGACAGGAACCACATATATGTTTTTTTAAAGTATCAATTCTAGCTGTATGATTTAAGGAGAATATGGATTTTACAATCACTGTTCTTCGACCACTCTTTATCAGATGTTTTATGTATGCAGTGGGAGCAGGAGTTCTGTATATTGTCCTCATTTTTCTTTTGATTGTGGGGTTACTTTTGTGGATTGTCTCCAAGCACTACCTGGCTGCAGTTATAAGAGTGTTAATAGCCCAGAATGTTCAGGTGTTCCTGTGAGTTCTGATTGCTTCTTTTAAAAAATAATAATCAAAGCAGGCAATGGGAATCATATATACTTGCCCACTATCCTACTTTGGACACATAATGAAACAGGATATTGGAAAAGACAATAATGCTAAATTGCTAAATTGAAGGCAACAACAGCGGAAGGCCAAATAGGGGATGGATTGACTTGATCAAGGAAGCCACAGTCTTGAATTTTCAAGACCTATGCACAGCTGTTGATGATAGGATTTCTTGGAGGTCACTAATTTATTTGTTGTTGTTATGTGCCATCAAGTTGCCTCTGTTCTATGGTAACCCTATGAATGATCTCCAAAACATCTTATTCTCAATAGCCTCACTCAGCAATGCCCTCAACACCTTCAAGTACCACTGTTCCCCAGTAGCTGCCCTCCAGGCATTTCTTTGCCCCATCACCATCGGAACGATCAGTCATTTTCTGCTGATTCAGCTGTTACCTTTGAAAAGGATGGATGTCTCTTAGTCTGATGTCCCAGATGTGGGACCCTGCCAGGAATCCAGGCTCATAATGGAGACTTGCCTCCTGAAAGCAATGCTCTCAGCTTCTTTGACACACTCAGGCCCCCTCAGCATGTTAGTGTGCATCCAAGAAAGGGCATTAATTCATAGTAGCCACAAATCTAAAGCAACTTGATGGCATATAACAGTGTGTTTAAACAATAGAAATTGAAAGCTGAGGTGAGGAGTAAGGTGCTGAGGGGACAAAGGATGTAGAATTGAATTTTCTGTGCCTCTGTAAGGCAACAGCATTAGTCTCCTTCTCCTGCTAGTCTGAAGAGGGGTGATGGATTTTGAGTAGTGGTGTATATGTGTAAGAATACTGTAAGGGCCAAATAAAATGTCTGTTGGAGTGTGAGTAACTGACACTTACAATAAATATCTAGAAACTCAGAGCAGAATTTGGAAGGAAGAAACAATAGGTAAGTAAGTGATGCCGAATGCAGTAAAAACATGGGTTGGGAAAATGAAAATGGAGTATGTGCAGATAAAATGCAGGGCTACAAACCTTCCCCACCTCTTTTTTCACCTTTTCCTGGTCTTTAGGTATTGTGGTTTTTGGACCTACCTCATTCTCTGCACTGAATTTGGTGCCAAGTGATTTTGAAATGGCGCTTATCAGTTGTATGATTTTCATGTCTTGACAGAACCATTTAAATCATACTGTTGTACTCTGCATCCATCTCAATTTTGTATTCCTACTTTCATTCCCTGTATGACGCCTTGGACATTTCTAGTAGAAAAGTGAACAATTAAGGTTTTAACTGTTTAAGAATAAAAATGTAGTGCAATGTAGACACTGCCTCATATTTTCAACAGCTTCCATTGTTCTGCCCTCAGTCCTTTTGATGTTTTGGATTTTGCCCTTCATAGCAAGGAGATGTGTGACCAGCATAATGCCTTCACCATGTGCCCTCTCTGTGACAAGACATGCGACTACTGGAACCTTAGTTCAGCTTGTGCTACAGCACGTGCCAGCCACTTATTCGACAATCCTGCCACTGTCTTCTTCTCCATTTTCATGGCACTCTGGGGTAAGCTTTAAAAAAAACTTTAAACAATTCAGTAGAAACTGAAAAGAAAAAGAAATGTGAAGGAATTAATAGGTCAGTATGGAAACGGGATGTAAACATATTGTGAGTGATTCACAAAACAGTAATACCATACAGTGCTGAATCTGTGGGGCAAAAAGGGCATCCACACCAGTCCGAAGATTGGGGAGAGGCTACCATGTGGGCTCCAAGTAACAGCTGAGAGAAAGCTTGTGGAGAGTGATGTGCTTCTGTACGTACATAGGGTTTCAGAAAGAAAGGCAATATGAGAGGGAATCAGGAGACCTGTTGCTTTCTCTCCTATTTTAAAGCTAAATTGGCCACTCTTTCACAGGTGGAGAAAAACAGCTTCAGGGGGGCAAAGCGAGATCCCAATGTCTGCTGTCTACTTTCCCTTATCTGGAAACTAGTCTGGACCTAGTCATCTCCAGCTTCTCCTGAGTTCCTGAAATTGTTGGTCTTGGGAGTATAAAAGAAGGCATTGCTTACTCTTGATTAACCCAGTCCCTGTTATTATGGGATGGGAGACAACTGGTGGCAGGAGCTGAGGGGGAATAAATTAGATGAGTGACAGTATGGGACAACGGGTGGAAATAACATGGTTGGTAAATAGAACTAGTGGTTGGAAGAGCCAAGTCAGGTGTATTATGAGCAGTGGGAAAAGGTGTAGAGAACTAGGCCAGGTGGGGTGGGGGATGATGTGCAATGTTAGATTGGTAAGAACAGGAGGGAAAGGGTGCAGAGAGATGGTGGGTAAGAGTGTGGGGAAAGAGAGAGAGAGTAGCCAGGTTGAATAGGCAAGATACACGGAGAAGGTGTACAGTGAGCTGAGCCAGTGGGGTGAAGGCACTGTATAAATGTGAAGCAAGAAAAGTTGTGTGGGTGAAACTAGAGGAATGAATGAAAGAAGTAGAGTCAGGGGCTTGCAGTGTGATTTCCAATGGGTTAACGTTTCTTGCCCAGAAAGAGTAGGGAAATACTGTGGTTCTTCTTCAAACCTTTTAGTGCTTTAAGAATTGAACACAACAACCAAATCAGCCAGATCATGGGTATGAAGATGGAAGTTAGTCATTCCAGAGTAACTGAAATGAAATGCCATGGTGGTCTCCTGGATACCTTATGTGGGGAGCAATTGGAGAGTATGAGAGAGCGACAGGGATTGTTGACATGGCTAGGTTAGAGCAGACTGGAGCAGACTTCATAGCACACCTGCTAGAAAGTCTGGTATGCCATTTGATGTGATCCTTGGCATATGGACTTCAAATTACTTGGTCTGCTTTTTTAAAGTGGGTGTGTATTAAGTATGTGCATTACAAGTGATCTTTAAGAGAAGTGTATTAGATATTGAAGTGTATGGCATCAAAAGCTGCTGAGAGGTAAGAACTAACATGTACACACTCACCCTGTCCATTTCCCAGCTTTGATCATCCACCAAGATGACCAAAGCTGTCTCAGTCCCATAACCAGGTCTGAAGCCAGACTGAAAAGGATCTAGAGACAATCCGTTTCATTCAGCAACTCCTGGAGTTGAGAGGCTACCACACACTCTGGCACTTGCCCAGGATAGAACAGGGAGACTGGCCATGTAGTTGTCCAAGATCAAAAGGTGGGGTCCCCCCCAATGATGTCAGTGTTCACTGATCACATGTTCACTGAGAGGGGAAGCATGTCTGGTGCATAGGGTGCTACTTGAGGGTATAGAACCAACCCACCTTGTTCTTGCAATTTCTGAAGTGCATTCCATATCCATGTTTACTGAGTGCCTGGATAAGGCTTCACATTATTAATTCATTGAGAAGTATGGTATCTTGAGTATTTTGAATCTGAAGCTTCATTATGACTTAAAATTTTGTTTTCTTTTTCTTCAGCCACAATGTTTCTTGAGAACTGGAAACGTTTACAGATGAGATTGAGTTACTTCTGGGACCTAACTGGCTTGGAAGAGGAAGAAGTAAGTTTTATTTAGAAATCCTCATCCTTCATTATTTTCTATCAGTTGTATGTGAAGCGGGAAAACTATATTAGGGAAAGATGCTATGCAGGAAGGAGAGACAAAGCGTCTGAGCTTATTCAGTTTTGTTCTAGACTTTTGTATGATAACTAGGATGGAAATGGTTTTGGAAAGAGACTTTTCTTGTTTATGGGCAAGCAAGTGAACAAGGAAGGATGTTTGTTGTGATGGTTGTTTTTGTTTTACCTTTAATATACTCCATTGCATACTATTCACAAGAGACAATTGCATTTTTTCTTCCATCTGTTTCTGGTAAATTACTGCTCTAATTTTAATTTCTCCTTTATCTTTTCAGGATGGCTAATATGTTTAGTAATGAATGACTGCTAGAATTTAGCGAAATTATATGATTAATGGGAAACACAACTTGTCTTTCTGCTAGTTTCATTTGAACTTTTCCCCCTACTACGTTTCTAGGAGTTACTGTAAATGTCTGAAGGAGAGGAAATAGGTCCATTTTATTGTTTGGGTTATGTGAACCTGTGAAGCTCTATTGGTTGGTTTCCCCCAATTTCCATTTGAAAGCTTGTTCTCACTCAGGACAATGTTGTTTCTTTTTTCTGTGTCAGAAGAATTGCAGTACAATTAGTAAATAGATCAGATAATTTTTGCATGGGAGCAGGCAACATCAAGAGCATCTGAGGCAGCTAGCATCATGTCATCCATAGTACATGTTGAGGGTCACTGATACAGGTGTGAACTTGCCTGTTCTTCTCTGTACTCACAAAGAAATATGCTAGTGCAAAAACACACAATTCTCTTAGGTTCACTATATTAGATTGTGAACCTTATCCTATCACAACAGAACTTTGTATGCATTTGGGTGCATTTTTCATAGCAATGTGCAATTTGTATGCAGTTTTTTAAAAAATATATGAACTTTTCTTCTCCCAGCTCCTGAAATCCTGTTGCACAGCTCTGTGTGCTTAACAAGGTTGACAGCAGCTGCAACAAAAACAAAAGAAGCAAATAACCACTGATTAAAGGCTCCCTTTAATTATTACAGAGTGTATACAACTTTAATTACATCATGTACCACCAAATCTCCTTTATTCAGCAGCTATTTGCCTGGAAGCAAATTAGCCTCTTAGTAATTAAAAACATATTATTAATGTGAGAAACCTGTGAAGTTTATGGATTATTGGACTAAGCCTTGGGAGATCTAGATTTACATCCTCATTGAGTCATGAAACTTGCTAGGTGAATTTGATCCACTTGCTCTGTCACTCAGCCAGCCCTACCTCTCAGGGTTGTGGGAATTATAAAGTGGACATGTGTAATATTATATTTGCTTTGTGAGCTCAGTAGAAGAAGAAGTGAAATATACATGTAAATAACAAACAAATAGTAAATGAATATTGATATTATATAGAGAAGTTTTCATTCATCTAGTAAAAAAATATTTGCTCCTAGCTTGCCTCTGAAACTTCTCTGTTTTTAATCATCCTCAGAATTGCTTAGAAGCTTTGCCTGATCACAAGCCTTCAAATTTCCTTTGATGGCAACCTGTTCATGTAAGCTATGCCACATAAGACTGATGACATCTTCAGCCAGAATTATCATCTGGAAATTAAATATTTTCTACTTCCATGGTTCTCATATAATCCCTTTTGTCATAAAGGAACCTTTGGGAGCCAAGAAAGGAGGAGGAAGCCTTTAATTATCACAAATCACTGCTGCTTGCAAAGTCATCCCAGCAGCAATTATTTTTTGTTAATTAAAAACTTCCTCCTCCTGTCCCATGGTTTCCCACTGATTAAAGGAAGACATGGGTGCCTTGCAACAGAAGTAGGAAAAGTTTGATTAAAAAAAATCATTCTGGCTGATGACATCATCAACCTTATGTGGTTATGTGGTCATATATTTATGGAACCTTCCTGAGGAATTCAAATGGCCAGGGAAGGCAAGGGGAAAGAAAAGGTAGATGGTGGGCAACAGGAGGCAGCCCTAGCCTCACATTACTTTCCCTTGTGCATGCAGGATCCACACCTACACAGAAGAAAACTGCATGCCTCCCTTCACTCTTTATACCAGAGCTAGCTGTGTTTTTGAGATTACCTCTGATGGCAACAATGGGCGAATAGTCAGTTGTGGGCATGCAAGCAGCCAGTGGCAAGGATCCCCACTGCTGCTTCTCTTCGCCTCTCCCTTCTACATCTTTTGTTTCATTTCATGACCTCTTCAGAATGTTTTGACACCTCCTTGTATTTTCCTCCTCCTCCTCATGCCCTCTTGAAAGGTATCCATGCTGCCAAGTTTGACATGCCACCAAATTGAGAAACAGTGCCTTACGGAACATAAAATCAGAGATGAGAAAAAGGTGTTGTGTAAGTTTGTATGGAAGGGAGCTGGCTAAAGAAAGAAGCCCATAGTGTGTGATTAGCAGAATTCTATAGTGTTGCTTGATGCCCCCCCCACTTGCTTTTTGGAGGCAAAGGGAACACACAAACACCAACAATTTTCAGATGAAAATAGCTTAATCCTAGGATTCCACTAGCTTGGAATCACTAGGCTGATCTTATGTGACAGTATGGTGTTTTTATTTTTATATTTGTTTTCTGACAAAGCCTTTCTAGTTTCTTTGATCATATAAGCTTTCTTTGCTATCACGCAAAAACCTTCTCTGATTCTGGACTTTTATTATTTTTCTGGAACATTATGTTTTGCTTCCACATTAAAACTTATAATATCCCCCTCAGAGCAATTTGAACAATAAAATGATATATAATGATATGTGCACTCTCCTAGCCACATGTACACTTGTAAATAAGCTACACGTCACCATATGCTCATGCTAATAAAAGCTTTCTCTCAAACCACACCTCTGTAGAATATTCAATGATGTGATGTAGGATTTAGTTTTATTGACATAACTTTGACAAGATCTCAGAGTATTTCTAGGAAGCCAGTTGTATCTATTCAAACGCACATACCTTTGTAGTTACATGTGTGCTGAGTAACCAAGGTCTTTGTTTAACATCTCAGTAGATTTGCAGATAACCTAGTAAAGAAATACTCTTACTAATTAGTAGACATAATACAGAGGTTCATTTGACTTATGTAAAAGTAAAGGTTCCCCTTGACATTTAGTCCAGTCGTGCCCGACTGTAGGGTGTGGCGCTCATCCCCATCTCCAAGCCATAGATCCAGCGTTTTGTCCATAGACAGTTTCCGTGGTCATGTGGCCAGCGTGAGTAGACACGGAATGCCATTACCTTCCCACCATGGTGGTCCCTATTCATCTACTTGCATTTGCATGCTTTCCAACTGCTAGGTTGGCGGGAGCTGGGACAAGCGATAGGAGCTCACTCCATCGTGTGGATTCGATCTTATGACTGCTGGTCTTCTGACTTTGCAGCACAGAGGCTTCTGCGGTTTAACCCACAGCACCACCATGTCCCTTGACTTGTGTAGTTAAGGTAATTAGCTCCCAATCTGTATGATGATATCCACCAAAACCTTGGTGGATAAAGAAGCAAAATATGAGTTCAAGACTGGCACAGATCTGACCTCTACACATTTGTCTGTTGCTTATGAGCTGTTTTGTCATGAGATCTCTAACATGAGTTTTGGAAATGGTTGGATTTCCAAGGTATGATAGACTTTGTCCCATGCCAGGCTTAGGAGATTTGAAACAGATATTTTTGGAAGAAAATGGAAATCTGGTAATTTGAGTCATCATTATGATTTACATTCTTGTAGAGGCATATACGATTAATTAAATACTCTGCATTAAACTGAAAAACACTCAAATTGTTCTAGGGCCATCCCAGGATTCAAATAAATTATTCCACTCTTGGGAATCTCTTTTCTGCTCCTTTAGAACCATGTGCTTGGATCCTCCCTCTGTGCCTGTTTCTTTCCCTGATGGAGTAAATTGGAATTTTTTTTAAAAAGACTCAGGGGTCCAAATCTCACATGGGGGTTATAAACTTAAATATTAATTAAAGATCCATAGGAATTTTTCTTTTCTGGCCTAGATTTAAACCCTGCATCTTTTGAAAGCCAGCCCTATGCAATACAGTGAGTCTAGGTGGCTCCCTTGCATTGTGCTTTACATAGTAATGCAATGACCTAGTTTTCTTATACAGCATAGGATCAATTTTAAAAAGCTTGTGGGGGCTTTGGCAGCCACAGTAGTGTTAGTGTCGGTTGCCAAAATCTCTATAATCATTGGCTACCAAACTCTTTGTTCAAGCTAGGAGAAGAATTAGGGGATGAGTCTTAAAAGTTCACCTCTCTTTTTGGATAAAAGTTCTTTTCTGAGACTGGCCCAGGAAAAGTTCATGGGCATCTGTGATAGACCACCAGGAACTGCTGCATCTGTTTCCCGACCTAACAGCTGGTGGACTAGGGCAGCTGGCCATGAGGAGGGGAAGGGGATCTGGGAAGCCTAGACACAGCAGGATGTGCCAGAGAATGAGGACTGTTTAAAAGAGGGTAAAAAACACAATGCAAGAGGAGCACAATAACTATGGAAAGGAAAGGCATGGAAGGGAAAAGAGAATCCCCAGACATTTCACAAGTGGGAGAAGATAGACATCCCTGCAGGCTGTAGAATGAGGCCCCTTGCCCACAGCCAGGACTGGGACAAAGGGGCTAATTAGAGGATATCAGCAATTGCCCTCAAAACTTTTGCTGCTGAGTCTCTGCTTCACAGCTGGTTACATTCTGTCTTGTAAGGCCCAGTCCTGTGGAGCCCAATAAGCCCTGCGGCAGAGTAGTTAAACTGCAGTACTGTAGTCAAACCTCTGCTCATGACCTGAATTCAGTCCTAATGGTTTCAGGTAGCCTGCTCACGGTTGACTCAGCTTTCCATCCTTTGGAGTTTGGGCAAAAAGAGTACCCAGCTTGCTGAGGGCAAGTTGTTGTTTACATAAAATTATGTTGTAAACCACTCAAAAAGTGCTCTAAGCACTATGGGGCAGTGTATACTGTAA